GTGCGTATAAATTTGAATCGATGTTCGACTTATCACATGTGGGTTCGACTGTGGTTAATAATACGAGCTTTTTCAATTCTACTACGTCAAACAATCGCTCTTTCCTCTGGTCTCTGGTGGTAGGTGCTGTACTACCCATTCCTTTCTGGTTGGCTAGTCGTCGATACAGATGGTGTCATCTTGTTCACACTCCGCTGATTTTAGCAACTGTGTCATGGATGCCGCTGGTAGACGCGGGTACTTTGTTAACGTGGCTAATCATTGGTCTCTCTGCAGCAGTATTAGTGAGAAGAGAATGCTGGAAGCGACATATTTATCTGACATCATCTGCACTAGATGCTGGAATGAATTTTGCATTAGTGGTGATCGGTGGACCGTTGGTATGGTATAACGTGACTTTTCCTACTTGGTGGGGAACAGGTGGAGATAGTAAAACGGGATGTCCATTCTCGAAAGCAAATCCTGCTCTAGCACAAAATTTTGATCCACAGACATACGGAACGTGAAAACTGTTGTTTAACTGTTGAAGATACAATTTGAAAACGACAGTCATAATGAGATATAAATTGTTGTATTCCGTACGTTATTTATTTATTTATATGTCTTTGTAGTTTCGTATTGCGACTATTTATAGCGATTTACACTGTTATTTAACAAAGTATTTTTCTTTTTTCGTTCTCTCTCTCTCTCTCTTATTACGCACATTTCAAATCTATATAAGAAGCACAACAATTCTCACCGTGTCAAACAGTCAAAACAGTTTACTCTGTGACACGAAAAAACACAACTGTCAAATGTCTTTGGCAATCTCGCCCGATCGCAAAGAAGACTCTACTGACGACAAATCAGGTGCACCTGATATTGCTGCACAACAAATTCGTGAGCACCAGGCCACATCTCATCCATCATCATCAGGTCAACATCACGTTGGAGCTATCAGTGGGCAAGAAAAACAATCTGATTGGAAAAATGATTCGAAGCAACAGATTGATAAACATCAAACAAATTCATAGAATCACGAATTGTACACCGATTTTCATTGCGTTCTTCTGACATTTCCCATATATTATACAAATAATCCAGACTGAAGGTGAAGATGATGCAGCAAACTTTTGATGCATAATAAAATATTTTCTCTTGCAAACTTACAGTTTATTTAACAAAGACGACTAAAAATGCAACATCTATCGGTTTTCAATGAGAATCTCTTTAATCTATTGACGTATCCACTCGATCGTGTTCATAAATGACGTATGTTCATGTATATGTTCTACTCCTTCGTATCGTATGACTGAAAACGGCATCATGCGATGCATTTTATAATTGACCTTGGCATTATATACTAGAGTGGAGGAGAGATGTAGTATATTTGAATGAAAAAACCTCAATCTGCCACCTTTTCCGGCACTCTCAACGCAACTACAGTTGATTTGCTTTTCCTGGGATGAGGATGACCTGCTCGAAGTTTTTTTAATTATTTTTCATCTCATTCGCACAACATTTCTTTTTTGACTGACAAGACTACCAAATATGTCGACTATTAATATTTATCTCACGCCCACACCTCACTAGTATATCGAATATCAGGAGCCTCCCCTTAATATTATAAGCGTGAAAAGAAAGTTTTTTCTTCGCATGTCAAAATAAATTTAATGACGTATTATTTGAATGTATTATTGAATTTTGATAAAGAGATTAACGACTGAAGTATTCTTATGATCGAATTGAAGCGCAGGATTATCTCTATTTATTTTTTTTAATTAGCAAAATCTAACATGAATTCTTCACTTCTTGGGTCAATAAGTCTTTATTATAACAAAGACTTGTGCCGAATATAGCCGCTAAAGCTTGTTTGAACAGATACCGATTGAACTTGAAAATAGTTATTGATAATCTTTTGAAAATGTCGAATACTTTCTTCATTTGAACACACGATTTCCATAGTATTAATCGCTGGTTTTTCGTCTTTTATTGGCTGTTCCTCACTTAATATCTTTGTAATCACACCAATCAGTTGTCGATTGCCATCAGATTCTTGAAATGTGAAACATGTGACACAACTAACAAGTGCATTCAACTGTTCGTAAACATTTTCATCACATCCAGTACACACAATGAGAAGCTCCATTTGACCTTTTTCAGTTGAAGACTCATAGAGAAACCCGCGTTGAACAGGAATATAAGTAACATGCAGATATTCATTGAGAATGGCAGCAGTTGTCTTTGACAATGGACTATTGATGTCATCTCGAATACACAATTCCTTTGCACTTTTACCTGTTGTAGTATCGAAAGCTTTTAATAAAAGTTTGCCAAATTCCGCATCACATCCATGAGCAAGGAATACTTGTTCGTCTCCATAGATTTCAGTAAAGATAAGCTTTGTTTTACTTTTGCTGGCGTGTCGGAATACATAGGTATATACTTTGGGATGATCGCGATGAACAAGATCAGCCATCTTGGACAACGATTGAAGTATCATGGCAGCCGTTGATTCAGAAGTCGCATCGAATTCGACGTATAACATGAAAGTCATACTGTTTTCTTTCTCCTATCACAATTGGCTTTACTTACAAAAGCAACGGCTTATATAAAAGACTGCAATGAGTCATAAATGTGCTCGGTTCTTATCAAAACATCCATATATGGTAATTTCAATGAGACATATAAGAACAGCTTTCAAAAACAAGTAGAAGAACATTAGTAAACGGAAATTTTATTTCTTATTTAGAAATTTGACAATGAAAACTTTCTGTTTTTCTATTGTGTTGTTCTACCTCTTGTGACTGCTGTTGTAATTCGATTGATATGAAGAATTCTGATGATTTTGAAAAATTCTTTTCTGAAGTTCCTTCCTGCCAACGTGTATAGATAAAAAGTACTGGAATGTGCATAATATGTCAGAACACTTGTTAGTCGTCCCGCAAAATTCTCCTGTGCAATTCGATATGTACTTTTCACCGTTGACGACGTTAATGATTGATAAAGTTGAAGGATCGATATTGGTAATGTGAATATAAAAATGATCAATACTTGTGCAATTAACATTCGTAGTAATTGCTGATCTGTTCGTCGCGTCCGTACTGTTGGTTCATTTCTGTTTGGAATAATCAGACGATGCTGCCGAAGATTATGTAAAGTCAAAAGGCCGAAAAAGAGCATTAGGATTGATGGACAGAATGAATAGAATATTAAATTCCAAAATCCGATAAATGTTCGATAAGTTCCCTTTCTTCCAAAACATGCCGGAGTGATATTTCCGTATTGATCAGATGAGAAACTTATTTCATAATAGACAAGCATGTGGACATGCACTAAAAACATGATAATTATTGTTACGCTAATTGATAATTTTGCCACTTTTGTCGAACTCAATCGACGTCTATGGACGTTTGTTGAACTGTGAAGGTATCGATCGATACACGCTAATATAATCAACCACGATGATGATGAACGCGATATATAGAAAATGTAGAACTCAATTTTACATATTCCAAGATTGTAATTCGCTTGGTCAATGGCAAAGCTCACTGCTAAAAGACGTACTGGTTGAAGAATAAGAATATATATTAAACTAAACAGTGTTGACCAAAGAAAATAAACTGCACAGGGTTCACGACGCATTGGCGCTCGGGTAAATACTAAAATATTGAATACAAGCCCAATACCGCCTGTAATGATACTTATTGTTGAGAGTATCAAAACAACTAAAGACGTAGCTTCATTTAATTTTTCTATTGCTGGGTCAACAGATGACATTGATGATGCGATGGGTATTGTATGAAACAGAATCTAAATAGTTGAATACGAATGAAATGGACGATTCAATACACAACTATGAACCCTCTAGGAAATGAACCATGTTTTCTGAGTACTTAAAGAATTACAATACTTCGTTAAATTCAAGAGTGATCTGCATCGAGTAGTTCGCAGGAAAAATGTCGTACAATCTCAATATTGTCTATTCAAGGATGCATAATGGAATGTCTTATCAGAATATAAGGTAGTTTGTCCCAAAAAGTTTTTTTTTTATAAAATCCGATAAGAAAAGACATCTTCTTGTGTGATGTTAATGAAAATGAAAGCTTCAAGTAATAATCACCTCTCTGCAGGGTTTGACATACTAATCTGACTAAGATATACCTCGCTACAGGTGGTATGACGTATATTTCTACTAGTTCTTTAAGGTAAAATAAAATTCTTCAAGATGGCATTTTTCGTGCTTTTTGTTCTGCTTTTATTGAATTGCGTCGCCATCGATAGCTTTATTTTAGCGTAGATTAAACTGTGAAAAAGCTCTCTTCATTTCCGTATGACTAGATGATTTCGTCTTCTTTCCAAATATTTGTCTTCTATCGCAGTTTATTTGAGTATAAAAAAAAACTTTTTTTTAATGCGCAGTAAAAGTAATCAGCTGCTTCTAATCAACGGAACCAAAAAGTAAACTATCGGAGAAAAACTTCGCTGTCTGATCAGTCTACCTATTTCACAAAGATGGAAAGTAATTTTGTGAAGACTCCCACCTTCTACGTAATGATCTTCTTATTTAATCCGATACTTTCTACGTCTGTTGGTTATATCTCGAATACAAAATATGTATCATCGGGTATCATTCAAATATTTTGGAATATAACTTGTGCAGAGTGTACGTGTAAAGCTTTCATATATTCATTTGTTGCTTGGAATTGTATAAACAGTAATCTGACTTGTCTATTAATTCAAAATTACTCGTTAGTCGATACTGGAGTGATTCCAAGTGATAATTCCACGTTCTTCTTTCGACAAATGCCATCCGAGCCGCTGGTGTCGACAAGTGGTAATGTCATCTTTATAAAACAAATAAAAGCTTCTCTTTTACATTACTTTAGGAACAACACAGTCAACGTGTAAGACGGAGACTTTTGTTCGTGCGTTTATTTTCTTCTTCGTTTAGACACGGCACTATCAAACGGCACACTAGGTTTCCTATCTGATAAAAACGCAACAGGAAACAGCTGGACTCAAGAGTCATACAAATATCTGGCAATGACATCGACAAATGTCACATTGCAAATTATTCTAGAAACGAATAAAAAAGATGAATGGAATGCTGACGATATTTCCGTTCGTGATTCGTCATTAAATGAACACTTGATTAATGGAGATTTCGAAAGTAACCCCTCAAGTACCAACTGGATAATAAATACGAATGGTTGTAGTAGTAGTGATGCTTCTTTCAGCAATTCACTAGCTCATTCAGCATCTTACTCTTACCATGATGCATGCGATGCAAAATCTGTCACCCTTTCACAATCATTTGCTGTAACTAGTGGAAATTTCTATACAATCAGCTTATGGTATTATTATAGTCCCGCTCCAGGCGGTGGCAGCAGTCCTGTGAGAATGACCATTGCAATAAACTAATCTTTTACAAGGGTCATATATATAGGCATTTTCTCTTTTTAGTCAAATAAAAGTATTTCAAGACTTGATTTATCAACATTTTTCATTTTTCAGGGAATAAGTGTATTTATAAAACCACGTGGGAATATGTATCTTCTCACAACAAACTTCTTTTGCGTTCGGTAGGTAGGTAGAAGAAAAAAAAACGAGTCGTCATCCTCGTCAACAATCTTATATATTATTGTTTGCGCAGTTTTACCATTCTGTTGCTATTACATTCTTTCATCGATTTAAAACTCACAAATTGTTGATTCTTTTTTTCCTGTTGGTTCGTTGTAGGAAGAAAGGCTCTCCCAACTTCCGAACTACTTTCATTTTCGCACAACATGGCTACTAATAATCTACTACATGATGATTCCGACAAAAAAATACAATCCAAACACTTGGAACTCTTCTGTTTGATCTGGCTCGATCCCGGTACAAATGTTGAGGAGACCGCTTGTGCTGAGCAACGATTACGATCNCAGTTAGGTAAAGCGATAGTATCGTCAATTCACGATTATCAACAAGTCGTCTCTATATATGTTTATTGTATGGATAAGAAAAGAAATGAACTTTGGGCTTCAAAACATTCGAAGGTAAAAATTGGAAATTTCCGTTTGGATTCGTCGTCTTCTCTCTTGTAGGTAAAAGCAGTGATTGTTGAGCTTGAAGAACTCATAACTCGGATTAGTGACGATCATCGAACGCAAGAAAAAATCATCGAACCACTACCGATCGATATTTTCAACGCAGGTGAATCGACCAGCGACGTCAATGGGCAATTTGTCTTCTCTCAGGTCCTCGTCGATTGTCTTCTTCGATTAAAACCGAACGAGAAAGATAAAACTGAATTGATCGATCGTTGCCAGACGGAATATAAAGGAAATAGTGTTGAACTGGATAATCTTCGTGAATTTCAAAAGACTTACAAGTCTGATCAAGTTCTATCTTGGTACACAAAAGAAACATTCTTCTACAAAACTCTAAATACTTGTTTACGTAAACAAAATATTCATATGATGTTTCTATTTCATGAATATCTTTCGAATATCAATCAACAATTGAAACAATATCAATCGAAGGACAGTATTACCGTCTATCGTGGACAAATGATGAGTAATGAAGAACTGGAACGAATCAAATCGAGTATGGGTCAACTGATCTCCATCAATTCGTTCTTTTCGACAAGTACAAGCTATGCCAATGCTGTCTCGTTCTTGAAGTTTTCAAGTTCTTCCGCTCATTTGCAGCGAGTTCTATTTCAGATCAAAGCCGATCCGAAAAAGGCTACGAGCAAGCCATTCGCTGACATCAGCAAATGCAGTGAGTTTGTCAACGAAGCTGAAGTTCTATTTATGATTGGCTCGATCTTTTGTTTGGAAAGTGTCGAGTGCGACGATTTAAGCATATGGGTCATTAAAATGACTCTCTCCAGTGACGAAGAACATGGATTGAAGCACGTTTTAATGTATATGAAAGCACAAATTGGTAGTGGACAAACGACGCTTCGCACGTTGGGTAAATTTCTTTGGACGATGGGAAAATTTGATTTGGCGGAGACGTATTTCATTCGCTTTTTGAGCGAACTGGATCCAAATGATGGATTAGCTTGTACTTTATACGAAGACCTTGGTCAACTCGCAGCGGTCAAAGGAGAATATAATAAGAGCGTTCAATGGCATCAGAAATCTCTTCAATTGAAAAATTCGAAACAAACGGATACTCCGAAAAGTATCGATGAGCCCGAAAACGCAGGTGAGTCATTGAGATAAACATCTTAAGAATAGAATTCGTTTCTTTCAATTTTAGGTCAGCAATCGGCAACAGCCAATGCTCAATCAGAGACTAAGACGGTTGGTGGAATGGATGTTGAAGCATTCAAAAGTTGGCTGACGAATTATATTAAAAAAAGTACGTTCAATATATGAGTTGACGTTTTGCATATGTCGTTTGTTACAGAGGCAGCAGCGGTGGCCGCAGAACAAAACTCTCGAACGAAGCGTCATCCGAAAAGTGTCGAAAACTTCTGTTATATTCTCGAAGGTCAAATTCCGATCTCCGAAAACGAACAACAAACTCTGCACGGTTTGATCAATTTGGGTTTTACTTTCGCAGATATCAATTCCGACGAATGTATTAAATTCTTTCGTGGAATTCGACTCGAACGCATCATCCTCATTCTTTCAAAAGCCAGCCTGCAAGAATTAGCCAAAGCAATCCGCGAAGAACCGTACCTTAGTGCAATCTATGTCATCGATTCTTCCAAAGAAAGATCATACGATTCGAAGATGTACCGAGGAACTTTTCCTAACATTGCTCAACTTTGTAAACGGCTAGAAGCTGACCTTCCAATAATTACGTACGACCTAACCAGTGTCTGCTCAATTCCTGCTGATTATGCCAAAATGAGTACTATCAATTACTTTCAAGCATTGAAAGACATCATTTTAGACAAAGACGAGAAACGAAATTTGAAGAAGGAAATGGTTGAATTTTGCCGGGAGAAGTATGCGGATAATGCTGTTCAATTAAGGTTCATCGATGAATTCGAAAAGAATTTTCAAGAAAATCAAGCGATTCAATGGTATTTACGACAGGAAACTTTTATCTACAAAATGCTGACACGTGCATGTCGAGTGTTCGATGCGGACATACTCTATAAGCTTCGCTATTTTATCCAAACCTTTCATCGTCGATTGGAATCGCTGAACCGAACGAGCGCAATTACGGTTTATCGAACAATTCGAGTTTCAAAAGGTCTGGTGGAAAAAATGAAGAATTACGACGGTGGATTGTTTTCATTCAATGAATTTCTCTTTGCTGATAAAAATCAGCCAAATGCCGAACCTTCGCCTGTTAATCTCGAATCGAAATTGGTTCGCTTTCGTATCGATTTAGCAGCTGGTATCGCGCGATACAACGACTCGTCGAAACCGAATGAAGTTCTCTTAACTTTCGGGTTGATTTTTCGTTTGGAAAAAATCGAAGCTGTCGATGACGAGATTTACAATGTTCAATTAACAGCCAATGAAAAATCTTTCAAAGATGGTCAACAGATCTCGAAAGATTTACGTGAAGCAGTTCGCGGAACGTTTCCAATGGTACGCATGGCCATGTTGATGTGGCAAAGAGATTTATACGACGAGATGGAATACTTTTGTACGATTGTACTCAATGACTCACTAGCAGCTAGTGACGATCCATCGAATATGGCTCTTGGCAGACTACTTCATTCCCTAGGAAACCATTGTTATGAAACAAAACAATACGACAAAGGATTAATTCATTTTCAAAATGCTTTAAAAGTTTATCAACGTGTTCTATCGCCCAACGATCTTCGATTGACGCCGACTTATAACAATATCGGCAGTATTTATCATCGACAAGATTTAAATGAGAAAGCGTACGAATACCATCGAAAGGCGTTCGATATTCAAAAGAATTCGACACATCCAGATATGGATTCCGTTTCGACGTATGCGGGAAATATTGCTTCAGTTTTAATCAAACTTCATAAATACAAGGAGGCAGTGAAGTTCTCGGAGATCAATTTAAGATTCGAAGAAAAACTTCATCCTGATAAAAACGACGGGCAAATGGCAGCAAAGTATTACAACCATGCCGCAATGCAATACCGAGCCGAACTCTACGCAGAAGCGTTACAAAACTACGAAAAATGCTTGGCTATTGAACTGAAATGTCATCCAGCAAATCATCCGACAGTTGCAGCAACTTATCACAGCATAGGAACAGCTTTGGACAAACTCGGAAGATTTCAAGAAGCCAAGAAAGCGGTAGAAAAAGCAGTTGAACGTTTACTTTGTACTAAGAAGGAAGACGATCAAGAGGTTCAATCACACAAAGCTTATATTAAGAAATTAGAACAAAAACTTTGGATGAAAGACATGTTGAACGCGACATAAATGTTTTATGACTAGTTTTCTTTTCTTGAGAGTGACACTAGATCACATCGCTATAATATAAAGATGTGGAGCGACTCATCAACGCTTGTCTGTTTAAATATTCAATCATTTTGGCAGCTCCGAGGAAAGTCAATAATATGCTTGTGATCGAAAGAATTGTGTTCTATAAAAAATAGACTACCATTTGATGGTTTTGTTTAGTGTGTAAAACTTTCTCCTTCAAGGCCAGCTTACCAAGAAATAGAATGTATGTGACCAATTTGATTTATAGGTTCCAAATTCTCATTACTATCGCTAAATCCATAAGTAGATGAAATTGTCCTATGAAATAAAAGGAGTGATCGATTGTTTTATAGACGTGTCATACAATCAACCTCGGTTTAGTTCCTGTGCAATATGGGATGTAAACGCGAGCACGATAATCACTAGTACTCCGATTGGATCCTCCCCCTATGGCCTCTTTATCAATACGAACAATACAATTTACATAACATCACGAAAGAAGAATAACGCTCAGATATGGCCTGAGGGCGCAATCAGTTCAACTAATATTTCTTTATTTAGTTTGAATGCTTCTGCTGGAATTTTCGTTACTAATACAAAGGATATTTACATTGATAATGGGCTTTACAACAATGTAGTTGTGATGTGGCCATACAATCAGATGACCAGTAGAATCGTTATGAATGTATCTGGACGGTGTCATTCTCTTTTTGTCGATATTAACAATACTCTTTACTGTTCCATGGGAGATTTACATCAAGTTGCCAGGAAATCATTGAATACTAGCGCTGATATATTACCAACAGTTATTGCAGGCAGTGGAGTAAGCGGATCAGCGGCAAATCTACTTGCAAATCCGTACGGTATCTTTGTTGATACTAACTTTGACTTGTATGTCGCCGATAGTTCAAATAATCGTATTCAAGTTTTTCATCGTGACCAACCAAATGGCACAACTATTGTTGGCATAGGATCATCAAATAGCTTTGCACTGAACAATCCATCGGATGTGACACTCGACGCAGATGCTTATCTATTTATTGTAGATAAGGGCAAAAATCGCATCATTGGATCGGGACCGTATGGATACCGGTGTATTGCTGGATGTTCAGAAATAAGCGATTCAACACCTGATACACTTTCAGGACCGTTTGTTATCGCTTTTGACAGTCACGGCAATTTGTTTGTGCTCGACGCGAATAATGCTCGAGTTCAAAAATTTACTCTCAAAAACAATTCCGTCGCTTGTAGTAAGTTAGTTTTGAAATCAAAGTCGTACGTTTTTCTTCTTTGTCTTTTTTAGTTGATCCAACAACAATACAAACATCAACTACACTAGAGGACAGTACAACTTCGGTGCAATTAACAACAACACACGTTGAATCGACCGAAATTGTCACGACAGCCATTGAGACGTCAACGACTTCTTTATTCAATGACCAATCCACCACAGTTGTAACAGTGATGACTAGTTAGGATTCTTTCTCTTATTTAAATAACATCGAGGCACTGTGTTCTTTTCTTTAAGCAAATACAGAATCAAGTTCTTCATCAGAACTGTTGTCAACAACAGTTAATATGACCGTTGCAACACAATCGGTTTATTTTGTTCCTCAAAAGTGCGTCAATTCTAATTACATGGGTTTGTCGTGCAACCAAACAAGTAACTCATGTGATATGCTTCTTCCATGTCAAAATGCAGGCACCTGCTATTCTAATAACAACGCTTCCGATCAGTATTTCTGTTTATGTAACAATGGTTTCAATGGTACCAATTGCCAATACGATACACGACCTTGTACACCTAATAAATGTTGGAATAATGGTAAATACAGCCCTTTTTTGCATATAATGTCGACTTACGTGTATTTTGTCAGGTTTTTGTACGGCAACGTCGAACATAAGTTTTTTATGTTTATGTTCTTCTGCTTGGCAGGGTGTGTATTGCCAGACAAAAGTTAACTATTGTGGCAATGTTACTTGCTATAACAATGCTGTCTGTCGTTCTCTACTGTCTGATTACAAATGTGAANGAATGAACCTTTGCCGATCTATTGAACATTTCACATCTAATTGTACTGATAAAATTTGAAAGAGTTCTTACTTCGGAAGCTTCTTTTTCGTATTTTTCGATCATTCGCTGATCGACACCACCACATTTGTAAATCAAATGGCCCGATGTTGTTGATTTACCCGAATCAACATGGCCGATAACAACAATATTGACACGTGTTTTTTCTTTACCCATTGAGTTTTGAACAGTCAACTAGAAAACGTATTTTAATCATGTAAAATTCGCCCTATTTATTCAATCAGAACTCGAGTAATTGTGCAAGATTACGTTAGTTATGCTGATGATATATTTCGCAATAAATCATGTCACGAGTAAAGAAAAGTGAAATGTTTCGTCAGAAGTAAAGTGTACGTGACACATCAGCAGAAAGGAAAAAACATCAATTTTCAAGTCTGTTTTTTCCTTATAACCTAATTACATATTTTATTAAGTCACTGGAACAACTTCACCTGTTTTACAACGATTTTGAATAACGAAAACAATCTTCATTACAAGTGGAACAGGTAACCGTAGTAAAATAGTCAATCCTCCGTATAAACCGAGTACTTTCAATGCACTATACGTATAATAATTACTTTTACGGACCGTATACGAACAATAGATTGGCGCGCAAACTTTATAAAACAGTGGATAAGATCCGTAACTCCGCCATTTTTCAACAAACAATTCATCTGCTAAGTCCTGAATGAACGTGTTGCTCCTGAAACGATTTTCGTTTGAGAAACTTAGAGCTGTAATATTCATTTGATAAGGATATTGTCTTGGAACGGTTGTTGCATAATATAAGAATGAGTTTATGCATGTGGAATTGTAAAAGCATTCCATAGTCGATCGCAATAGTGTTCAACGCCTGAGCAACCGACATTCCATCCTGGTACGGCAAATTCTTGCAAATCTGTTATACGGTCATACACTCCGTCTGATTCGATGCAATCATTTCGTGTCCCACATGAGTATCCATTCTTCATTTGTATTGGACGAACTGGTATTGTCGTATACGTCCTATCCAAATCGATTGGCCAATCATAATTCAGAATGTATGACGAGATTAAAGTTTTGCCGCTCATCACATCACGTAGTAAGTTCAGATTACGCGAGAATTGTGTTGTCGTCATTTGTTGGAAATGGGAGATAAAGTTATCGAATTGGAGATAAAACTCAGATTTGGGAATGACTTGTGTATTGATAAATATTTCATTAAGAGATTGAACAATTGCTCTCTTTACTGTTGTTGCGGATAGTTGACATCATGTTGAAAGAAAGGAAAAGTATACAGCTCCACGCGAACGGAGATCTGCTCTTGATGCTGATAGAATCTCGGTATTTAACCGAGATATTGTTACAAGGACACTGAAGCGTTGTTGAATACACGATTATATACTTACTATACTCACTTTCATTTGGATGCGAAACAATAACATTTGTAGTTCCGGTGGAAAACATCGAATAGATAGTGATCGAGTATAATGAAAGAAATAAAATAAACAGATACCACCTTGTAGTTAATCGTTCTCGATGAATAATCCGACTATCACTCGATTCGCTGTCAAACACGTTTAATATCAAAATTTGGCTGATTATTTCCGCAAATATATGACACTTTTCTAAAAACTCATGTCAATATACATCGAAGTTAACCGAAGATAACTTACGAGGATTTTCTTGCTGAACGCGGTACCGATAAATGCTTGATGTCCGAGTTTTTCGATTAATTTCAAATTGACTTATATGATCAGTGTAGAAACCAATATTAGTTTTTATCTGATAATCAAACGAACAAAAGGGCGGACGACATTGTAAATAATAAGTCTCATACGAATAGGTGACATTCCAATTTTCGACCATTAAACCATCTAGAATTGATTCAGCTGGTGTTGTTAACGTATATTGACTAGGAAGTGTCGAATTAGGTATGGTTGGAAAACGAGATATAGTCATATTGAAAATTGAAACTATGTTTTGTAAAATATGCTTAAAGTTGCTGCTCGCTGTCATGGTGTATGTGGGAGGTGTGTCTAGTCTTGTGGTATAAAGATCAGAATACGAGTAAAGTTGATCGACGCTAAAATATGCACTGAATGCCAAATTACTCACATATTGATTACTATGAAGTAGTAGTTTCGTCAAAGACATCCGATGAATGAACTCATTTTTCATCTGTTCAATAAACGAGCTTATCGACGAAGTCATCTGTATATGGAACGAATCATTCGATAAAACATAACCCTTAGCGAAAGTGCTGGAAAGAAATTGGTCAATTCCGTTATTGACTGTTTCATTGGCTAATTCACAAAATCACACTAATGTTTGAAAGTACGAAGAAGCGCTGACAATGAAATTAAGTACCACATCAAGATGGCAGCCGAACGACACGCTTTGGTACCACCATGGTTGAACAAACTCATTCGAGCATATCTGATGGTATTCAACTTCGATCCGAACGAAACCGTCGTATGGAATAGCTAATTGACTACAAGTACAAGGGCATCGTAATGTTAATAGATACTGTTCTTGTAGTTGATAATATTTCTGTAACGTTGGATTCATAATTTGTTCAATGATAGTTTCGACTAACAGAGATGAATAGATAATAATGACAATCATTGAGATACCTAATAAGAGAAAATATAATCGTGTTGATAAACGACCATGGGTACACACGCGTTGCATCGTGAGAATATTTAGTATAGACGTTCAAGCTCCGAACCTTATCTTTCATCTTCTTGACAAATATTTTCAATCAATTTACAAACGTTTCATCTCTTTTTTCCGTCTTCCTACTTGGTCGTTGTGTCACTGGTCGATTCTTCGAAAAGAATAATTTGTATAAAAGCAAAACAAAACGAATGAAGTATGGAGTAATAATGCGTGAGGCGATTGATATGCCACCACAAAGCCCAAACAACGCTGTTAAAACGTATGTACAATCGAATCGATGATTGACTGCATAGGTACACGTTTTAGGTGAACATGCCAAATAACAATTTTTATAGTTTGTTTCCTTGTATATTTGTTAGAGAAAAATCTCGTCGAAAAGTGGCACGATTGTTGTTATTGGATTGAACCGGCTTGGTTGCGATGAGTTCAAAATGGAAATATTGATCTTTTGTTGATACGATGAGAGGAGAACATCGACACATGATTGTTGGCAAAGGCATTCGGGTGACGATGCAGATCTCATTTGAAGTGGAAGATAATCAACAATCAAGCCAGGTAAAGTTTCATTGAGTGGAATTTTATTCACGTCATATAATCCCAATTGTTCCGTCATGTTGTATAAATAGATATTAGCAGGAAGTGGACATGCACGATCATTTTCGTAAGTGTATATCTGCATCGGATACTTATTACTTATCGTGTTGTAATAGACCGGGCGAAGGACATAATTGTTTCCCAATGCGGTTAATAACTGATTTGCTCGGATGATACTATTCAGAATTCTCATCGACACCTAGACCTGTTCGAATGTCAATAGATCAAAGTGATGTAACATTTGCTGCAAATATGAAATCAATCCATCTTTGTGTGACGAAATCATTTGAACACATTTGGTGAAATACCGGCATCATCTTCACAAAGTCTACATACGAGATCGAAATTTTCGCACATGGGCACTGCATAAGACTATTAATTACATATTTATTTTGAGGTTTTTCATCCTGAGCATAACTCGGACTTGAAATCGATTCGTTTTTGATTCTCACACTGAACGATGTGTATGTTGTTAAAATACCAATAGAAATAACAAGTAGAAGAATATATAAACGCGTTGGTAATAGTCCACGGTAAGTGACTATTGGATCTGATGCTTGAAAATCGAAGGCACTCCATGTAAGCAGTTTCACACACGCATTGCTCTTTATTATATTCATCCAAATTAGTAAACTCATGAAGAAATTATGATAGTGTTGTATACACTGCAGTAGTAAAATTTATATGGAAATAAAACACATTAATTCTTTTAGCAGATATTTCCCAAAGTGCAATGCTAAAGGAAAAATAAATTACTATTCTCATTGCTTGTTTTTTAATGAATATTCTGGATGTAGACAAGCATAAAATAGAGAAAGTTTTCTTAATCATCAAATATAAAGCTTATTCGATAAAAGTATAGCTCATTGAGTATATCTATGTGATCATGGATGTTTTGTTTGAAAGCTCATTTCATATTTGAGTGCAATTATTACGTGCATAAGATATCATTCCTAATTGAATGACGAAGAAAAGAAATATGCGAAAAGCTAATGTCTTTTTTATCGATGTCTTCTACTTGTACATGTATCGTCGTCATTATTTTGTCGATTCTTGCTATAATTGCAATGAAAATAAACACGTAACAAAAAAACATTTTCCTCTTATCGTTCGCTTCGACGTTTCCTTTCAAACAGTTTATATTTTGATTTCCATCATTACATTTGACTAGAATATACCTACAAAACATTGTCACAGTTCAATGTCTGTCATCTCCACACGTGGCGACGATAGTCAAACGAGCGAGGACGTTGAATTGACTCAGCTTGTCTACTCGATACGAATCGAAAATCACCAAGATGATAACCCAGTTCCCTTTGGAATTCCTGTTTATTGCGATGCAGAGCAAACAACATTCGAAGAAGTCGCCGGAATTTGTGCTAACAAAGATGATCAAAATGCCAAGTCGCTAACGATTCGTTCATTCACTACCGGACTGATATTTCTTGATGGAATGTCATTCTATCAGATGTGGTATTATATTACTAATCTATACGCCCCATGTAAAAAAAAGTACTACTTTTTCGCATTAAAATCGGTTACTTCGTAGGAAAATCGATTAAAAGTAGTAAATATTGATTTTTTTCCACTAAGTAATCAATTATAAAAGATTTTTCTAAGAAAAACCAATTTTAATACATTCTATCGAAGATTACGAATCAAAATCATTCATATTTTAACGATTTCTAATGATTATTCCGATAAATCCGTTAAAACAGATTCCGGAACAAGAACTTCGATTGAAATCATTCATATTTTAACGATTTCTAATGATTATTCAGACAAAACCGTTAAAACAGATTCCGGTGCAAGAACTTCGATTGAAATCATTCATATTTTAACGATTTCTAATGATTATTCCGATAAATCCGTTAAAACAGATTCCGGTGCAAGAACTTCGATTGAAATCATTCATATTTTAACGATTTCTAATGATTATTCAGACAAAACCGTTAAAACAGATTCCGGTGCAAGAACTTCGATTGAAATCATTCATATTTTAACGATTTCTAATGATTATTGAAGATAATCTAACAGAACGAACATGATTATTGGGAATGTCGTAGAATATATGCATATTCTAATTACTTTTAGCTACCTTTGACTGATGTGTTAATTTTTGTGTAGAATTGTTAGATAAGGGTAAGAAGAATATTGTTGGAATAGTTTTAATTTGGAGATGCATAGAAATGATGTAAAACTTAGTGTTTTAACAACAGGTAGGAGGCAAGGCCTTGTGCAAATGGTAGAAGTGTTTTGAGGAGAGGTCGGTACGATGCAGTTCTAAGAAGAATGAGTGAGTGTGGGAAAACGAAAATAGTAACATGTACTGTCAGATGATCGAAAGGAGGCACATTTTTCAATAAAATCAGCAGCTTCTATTACACATGTTCGAGATGTTGAATCCACACCATATCTGACGGATTGAAGATAAAAGTCTGCGTTGGTAGAGATGATTTTACAGAAAAGTGGTTCTGTCTTGGAAAGATATTTCACCAATAGTAATGGTGGTCTGTTCTGGACAGAGAAAATGGAGCACACATTCCCAAATGTATGGATATTATTGAGACGAAATATGATGTTGCTATCATCTGCTTTCTTTTTCGCTGCATATTGTGTTGTGGTTATTCGGAAAGTTCTCACATATATCACATCAAAATATCTAATGGTTGATGAAGGAAATAAAATAGACGGAAGAGTATACTGCTTTCCAGTTTCATGCATCACCTGTACATCACGATGAAAGCTTTGACCTGCATAGCCAAGGTGAGATGAAAGAAACTGTGCTAAGCAATTATTAATTGATGATTTGTTGAGATGAGTTAAAGCACCTTGATATAGATGAACACCAGATATGATCTCGGCTGAATGATGACGTGTACTTTTCGTTGCACGAGTTATTTTACCTATTCAGAAAACAAAGGGTCATCTAGAAATCAACATTGTATATTTGGAAGCAAAATCGCCGCTCAAAATATGCCTCTTTTTGAGTTGCACATTTGGTGGCTTTGCAGGTATGCCCCACTAGGAAGTATTTTGCAGAGACTTACCTAATATACTTTCAAAATTAAATGTGGTAAAGTTAGGTAATGGCCCAAAGTCTTCAACTGTAGATGAAACATGAAAAACCGAGTGCACTACTTGCACGCAATGGCGTGATGTGTACAAATCACGAAATTCAGCGACAAACGATAATGACAATTGTTGAATCATAGAAAGATGCATTTTGAGTATAGTTCTGGACTCTACCACATGCATAAGCGCCACAAGCTGCAATAAATGGTTATAATATGTCGGTCTTAGAACTTTAGCAAAAATTGCGAAGCCAAACAAGAGTAATATCCTCATTTCATTTGCTTTAAAAGTTTTAAATTCATTCAAATGCCGTGGCAGACGAGTGGTGGTTGATGGTAAACGTAATTGCGCAAATTGTGCTGATAAACTATTCATGTGGCACTTAATACTCCAAGGCTCAAACGAATACTTTGGGTCAAACCATAACTTCAACATTCGCTTCTATAATTAAAAAACAGATAAATAACCATCGGTGAAGTTTCTCTTACGAAGGCACCACTATAAATGTTGTGCAAGCTATCGGTCATAAATGAAGAGCCCACATCGAAAACGAATAAAGAACGGAAAATGCACGGTCCCAAAATTCCTTTTTCAGCTAGAATATGTTTCCTCGCGAGCTCCTTCTTCTGTTCTCTTGATTGGTTAACTGAATTATTGATTTGTTGTTGGTGAAGCGTTCTTAAATTTACTAAACTATCATGACGTGCGTTCGATCGTAAGATAATTCTTTCCAGATCCGTTTTACTCGCCGCAAAAGACCTGACGCGACCGCGTTCACTATTCACCATCTTACCTACAAAAAATGAAAGTGAAAACGTTTATTATAATCATGTCTTCCTTTCTATCATGAACAATCGATTCATGCATCATCACACTCTCTGTCTATAAGCGATGAACTGGAGGCTGTGTTGAAAAAACAACATTTTCAAATAATTTACTTTTAGGTAGTAGTTTGAAATAAATTATCATTTTTTATGAAGCCAATTCAATATACTTTGTCAGTTAAGAAATCACATCCTAGGCTCAATACGAAACAGCTAATTGCACGAAAAGGTCTTATAATATTATATGAATATATACAATATTCGATACGCCTGGTGAAATGTAAAGTAAGTTTGTCTTATGTATATTCTCACAGACGATCTAGAGATATCGAAGCACAGTAATCTCAGTTATTCGCGCTTTCTTTTGAATATAGACACAAATCAATCTAAAACTGAAACTCAAGTTCACTATGATGACAAATTAAATATAAGAGCTAATCTGACACAGACGAGATGTCTTTCACCATATACCTTGTATTTCACATCTACCACAACCAAATGCAGCAATAGGTTCTGGTAAGTTTTGGAGAAGAGCTTGAGCAGGCTTATCACAACAAGCGGCGATCAGAAATACTTTTGTAAGTTGATTTTGTTCTTTCGATGAGTTTCGAAAATAAACGTATGTATGTCCCTTTTCCAGTAGAGATAATTCGTCAATAACCGGAGACAGAAATGATTTCATTTGCCATCGAGAAGGCTTATGAACTCCCAACCATATTCCACCGATGATTGTGTTTTCAACACTATAGCGTTTACTTGAAGGAATTTCGTTCAGAGCGAACAATATTGGCCAGATAGATGTTTTGCATCCTTTTTTAACTTGTACTCCATCGACATTCATTGTCAGTGTAAGAAAATGATCAGAGCAAAGTGTCTTTAATTGTTTATAAAATCGGCCGTTCGTGACATCACTGAGTGCGCAATTTGTAGAAGAAGAAAACAAATCAATACCAGAGTTATTATTTAATACCAATTGTATTTGATCTTTTATTGAGAAGGTTACGAACGTGTCTTGGTATGAGTCAGACGGCATATCATGTTGGCAATTCGAACATTTCCGTGAATCCATAGATGCTGACTGACAACTTGAACAGGTAAAAAAATACGAAGGCGATGGATTGATAGGTTCAACCAAACATTTCAAGTGATACCAGGACCGAGGTATATCTCTAATGCCAAAGAGTGATAATAATGCGAGAAGATCCGAAATACATTGAATCGACAGCTTATGGCGTCGTTTGAATAGTACAAGCAGACAAGCAATATCCTTCATAGTAATTGGTCTCTCAGACGAAGGTCGACTTTCTGCATCACTAGATTTTATTAAAGGAAAAACAAAAGATAATACTAAATTAAAGCATGAGATCATTACAAAAAAAACACTAGCCCTATCACCAAAAGTAGAATATGCCATGTAGTATTGACAAAGATATCGAAGCAAGTGATTGATATGTGAAGATAGAGGGAAATGGTGTTCGACAAAACTTTTTGTATTAACCTCTTGGTGTTAGAGTCCGGCGGGATCGGGCTTTTTCATCCCGATCTCGACCCGTCTTCCATTTAGAAGAAACCCATCTCGATCCCGATCCTGCCGGACTCTACTTGGCATGATCCTCAATCGATAAACTAATATGTAACAAATAAGACGACATTTTCCATCGACGAATCATTGATGAAACACTGTATTCAGACAGAAACTGACTTTCTAAGAAGTGAGCATACCGGTATACAGAAGAAGAATCTCCTGTTATGTAACTTAGATCAGCCTAGTATCACTGTCTTTATATTTAACAGATGAAACTATACAACAAAAATAGATAACACGAAAACATACCTTCTGTCATCATTCACAAAAGAAAATTTCGCTTCATCTTCTTCCATTTCATCAACGTCAGCTTCTGCTTCTAGTTGTAGTTCGTCAAAAGCATCCAAAGGTACATCTGTGTCCATATCAACTTCACCACTATCGATTTCTTCCTCTGGTCTCAGTATTCGATCATCATCGTCGGCATCATCATGCGATTCAAACATTTGCGTATCTGATGTTGACAAAACAATCTCTTCACTTACACTAGCATGATAACGAGCTAAAGCATGAGCTGATATAGTCGAAATATATCTTTGACCTTGTGAGAAAGAGAAACCTCACCGATACTCAAATTATGCTGCTGTTTTTTCTTGTATCTGAACATTGATCTTCTGCTAGACATTGATATCAGTTGAAACGTAAACTGAGCAATGCTCAATCCGATCTATAGTTCACGAGAAAAATGAGAAATAAATGAGCTTGTTCATCATCGGTGGCAAGGAAGGAAGCCTTCAGTTATATTTTTGAAGACAACTAAAACAGTTCAACTAAATCATATCAACAGCATTTTAAGAAGAAACAAACTAGACGATTTTGCTTAAAATATCGACATAGTTGAGAAGAAGAAACAAGAGATCGAATGACATCTTCCTGAATAAAACAACAAAATTACTCGAAACAAAGAAAAATCATTTCGTGAGTATCAATAATCTCTATGTGCAAAGAAAATTCATGATAATCAATAGAAATTTCACATGAAGAATAAAAGAAAAATGAGAAGAAAAAACTAGATAAATAAAATAAAAGTCTTCTCTAAAAAAACTATGTTCTGGTTTGAATTAATGCTTCTTATCAATTTGTTCGTAGTTTTGACGTTTTCTCTTAAACCACATTATTGTTTTGGCCTACTAAACGTGTTCTATTTTGGAATCGTTGAACTGCTAAATAGTTTCCAATTGCATGACGAATATCTGCATCAGAACATTGATCAGTTGCATTAGAAATCCGTGTATACTCTAATCAATCGCCTTTTTTCAATTTGATAATAAATAATCATATTTACTCACTAATTATTGCTTGTATAACTGCTTCGCCAATGTTTCTTATTGTACAATTATCATCAGGATTCGGATATTTAAACTTCATGATATGTCTGGCTGTTACAGTTGCAGAACGACCATGACATAATTGTAAATCATGTTCATTGATTTCCAGATGTCCCATGATATTTTCCAAAGCATCACCAAGGTCTTCTTCTTCATTGTTTTTGTTTTGGTTTAAGATATTCGTTATCTCGATCAAGTATTGAATAACCTTGGGATCTTTGGGACGTGCTAGAAAAATAAATAGCTATCGTCTCCACATTTCTTTTATCCACGTTACTGGTCAGCAACAAATAAAAACGATTTTCTGTTTTTCAATTAAACTAATTCAACAAGAGAGAGCCGAATAGTCAGTAACCAATCCATAAGATTAAAAATGCACGATACAAGCTAAAAATTCAATACTTACGCATCCATTCTTGTTCATATTTGGCAATTTGCGCTTGAAGCGCCACGCATTCTTTTTCTTTACTTGCATATGTTGAAAAAGATACCATTGTTGAACCGTTCAAACGCCTTTTTCGATGTTGTACGTTTTCATCAGAATCATCGTGTGTTCGCTTTTTACCACGCTCATTATTTGAACCTAAAAGCTGTGTTTAGAAGAAATCTTACGAAGACTATTGACTAAGCATACTGTTAGATTGGTTAGTTGTTGCGGCTAGAGTAGACCCATCGTTTTCTTGATCAATGATTTGAGATGATATCAAACTGTCGTCCAACTCATCTTTGTCCAGTTGCTGTTGTTGTTTTTGGCGTTCATCTGCATATGCATCTTCATTATCTTTTGGCTTTTCGTTCACCTTTTCAGAAGTTTTTGGCTCGATTGTTGATTGAGATGCTTCTGGTGATGCGTCTTCCGGTTCAGATACATCACTATTTTCTTTATCAGCATTTCCCTCGACAGTTTGCTTCATTTGTAAGCACTCGCCTTCATTTCCTAAAAAGAATTTTTGTAGTTTATTGACTCAAACTACTTTGATGAAGACTCTAACAGATCAGGTCGTCATTCGCAGACAATTTGAACCGTTGAGTCCTTGATTTTCGTACTTACCGATAATCAAAACCAAACCACGTGATCGTTTTTTCAATTCATCTTCATATGTTACTTTTACACCAGATGCAATTTTTGCTTTTTTATTGAGAGACGATACCTTATGTGTATCAACAACCATCAATTCTTGTGACGACTCGTCACGCAATAAAACCATTTGATTATTATTTTCGGTCGTTGCTTTTTGCCGACTGCTCGATGCTTTTTCTTTACTTTTATTTGTAGAAACCATTTCTATTACGATTTAACGAACGGTATGATCTAAGAATAAAAAACCATTTTCAGTGATTGTGACTTTTACTTTGCAAATAAAACGGTATATCAAAGAGACACATGATTTGTACTATTTGTTCTGAACAAATTTTGCGAAGTAATCTGATCTGCACCTAGGGTGGTAAAAGATAGTCAGTACTTTGTCGAATGATATTAAATAGTTCGGCAACAAATGTAAACAAATGACTATTGCAGCTCTTTGTTAATTTTTATATATTATGGTAAACAAATTCAAAGGGTATGTGATTCTCATTGTCCTTCGTAAAAATATTATATCTGGTGGAAGATATTACGTGAAAATAATTATTAATACAGTACAATTCGCGTCTAAATGCTTTAACTGTTTATTATATAGGTGGCAGCACCTTCTGTGGTCCATTCACGTCGACATTCGTGTGAAAGTTGGGTTCTGTTCAGTCACCAATGCGGATTTACATACTATTTTAGTGGGCCATTGAGCCTTTTACTAATTTTTGCACACAAATACATCAAGAATGAATCGATCTATCTTATAAATAAGACAAATCGATTCTGATTGGTGAAAAAAATTAGGACAATTCGTTTAATGTCTATAGAGTTAAAGCTTATTCTTTTTGTCACTGATACCGAAACTTGTTGCATCTTAGATTATAGTTTATTCCACATGAAAGAACGAACTCGACTCACATATCAAACAAAAAGGCACAAAATGAAATTGTATATGAACACACAACTTAGAGTTTCCAAGTTGGAGACTTTTAATGCTATAATTACTAAAAAGGTTGATAAAACTTGCGATTTTGCAAGATAATCGATTTTAATCGGTGCTTACTGTCTTAATCGATTGTAATGGATTAATTATGTAATTACGCCATATCAATTCTGGAACAATATATATAGGGGTTTTAACCTATTCATTTGTGCGAAAATATGGTCTAATGGTAAGTGGACATGCAGAATCCAAATAATCAGGTAAAATTGTAGGTCTTGTGTTCAAATCTCGCTAAAAGTAAGTATGTTTGGTACGCATGATGAAAACTGATTAGCACATAATAATTGATTACACTAGGTTCAATGATAGTAACTGATTATAACGGATTCAAAGATAGAAGTTGATCGGAATGTAATAAAAAGTAATGCTTCACTAAAATGAATGAAGAGGTATGAGTTAATAATCGACCGGTAAGTAGTAATCGTTCAGAATGGGTTAGTAGTACAGTAATGGGTTAAAATAGAGTTAGGATCGTCCGCGTAACAGTAATAGTAGGGACGAGTGAATTCTAATCGATTAAAATTTTATTAAAAAATAATTAAAATAGTACTATTAAAATCAATTTGTAATCCAATTAATAATCAGAATCAGTTAACTTTAATCGATTATCCTTTCATTAAAAACGAATTAAAATGGCACTATTATAATCGATTTTTAATCCGATTATTAATCAAAGTCAATTGATGGAAATCAGTTAAAGTAAAAAATCGATTGAAATCGATTGATTTTGATTAATAATCGGATTAAAAATCGATTATAATAGTGCCATTTTAATTCGTTTTTAATGAAAGGATAATCGATTAAAATCCGATTATTCAGATTCATTTTTTTACATGGGGCTTATATCACTCCCGTTATGGTTATTCTACTACCATATATTCTTGGTAGAGTATGATCGAAGATAAACGCTGAGCCATGGACAATGAAAGAGCACTATTATTTTACTAATGGCAAATATTGCACGGACGTTTTCGACTGTTTATGACATATCGATGATTGATTATCTGGAATATCAAGAGCAAAGATCTTCTTTCAAGTTTATTCACATGTTTCTCCATCATGGAAAATATTTATGGGATCAAATTAGAAACAGATCTCTGGATCAGAAAGGTAATGACATTCATTGTCGAATTATGGCATTGTATCCAGATGTGCCAGATTGGTGGTTTCTCATTGTTTTCGTCATCGCTGTGGTGGTGATAGTGGTGAGTTCACTTTGGGCAGGTGATCAGTCGAAGATGATGACATTCATTGCCATTGGTTACACCGCATATTGTTAAACATTGTATCTGGTGTCAAATATGAAACTAGGTCACTACATGAAGATTCCTCATAATACGAGCTTTTTCAATTCTACCACGTCAAACAATCGCTCTTTCCTCTGGTCGCTGGTGGTGGGTGCTTTGTTAACGTGGCTCATCATTGGTCTCTCTGCAGCAGTATTAGTGAGAAGAGAATGTTGGAAGCGACATATTTATTTGACATCATCTGCACTGGATGCTGGAATGAATTTTGCATTAGTGGTGATCGGTGGACCATTGGTATGATATAATGTGACTTTTCCTACATGGTGGGGAACAGGTGGAGATAGTGGAACAGAATGCCCATTCTCGAAAGCGAATCCTGCACTAGCACAAAATTTTGATCCACAGACACACGAAACGCGAAAACTGTCGTTTTACTATTGAAAATACAATTTGAAAACGACAGTCGCAATGAGATATAAATTGTTGTTTTCCGTACGTTATCTATTTATTTATATGTCTTTCTAGTTTCATATTGCGATTATTTATAGAGATTTACACTCTTGTTTAACAAAGTATTTTTCTTTTTTCGTTCTCTCTCATTTATTACGCACATTTCAAATCTATATAAAAAGCAAAACAATTCTCACCATGTCAAACAGTTGAAGCATTTTACTCTGTAACACGAAAAAACACAACCGTCAAATGTCTTTAGCAATCTCGCCCGATCGCAAAGAAGACTCTACTGACAACAAATCAGGTGCACCTGATATTGCTGCACAACAAATTCGTGAACACCAAGCCGCATCTCATCCGTCATCATCGGGCCAACATCACATTGGAGCTATCAGTGGGCAAGAAAAACAATCGGATTGGAAAAATGATTCGAAGCAACAGATTGATAAACACCAAACAAATTCATAGAATCACGAATTGTACACCGATTTTCATTACGTTCTTCTGACATTTCCCGTATATTATACAAATAATCCAGATTGAAGATGAAGATGATGCAGCAAACTTTTGATACATAATAAAATATTTTCTCTCGCGAGTTAATAGTTTATTTAACAAAGACGACTAAAAAGTGTAACATCTATCGGTTTTCAATGAGAATCTCTTTAATATATTGACGTATGTTCATGTATATGTTCTACTCCTTCGTTGATAACAAGCATTCCACGATCCTTTGAAATTGATGTCTATGGACTAAATATAATCATATGTTAATTCGACATATTGATCTTGTCTGGATAAATTTCGTATCGTATGACTGAAAACGGCGCATCATGCGATGCATTTTATAATTGACCTTGGCCTTATACGGATTGGATGTAAGGAATCCTCGATACAGGTTTATAACGTAATTTGAGTGGAAGTTTATTTTGTTCGTCGATATTGTTGTGACGGATTTGTTAAACTACTATGTTTGTCGAAATAATTCAATAACTTGGAAAGAGGATTCCATTGATCAGCAGTGAGTAAGTTTATTGTTATTTACTAGAGTCGAGGAGAGATATAGTATATTTGAATGAAAAAATCGAAATCTGCCACTCTTTCCGCCACTCTCAACGCAACTACAGTTGATTTGTTTTTCCTAGGATGAGGATGACCTGCTCGAAGTTTTTTTTATTTTTCATCCCATTCGCCCAACATTTCTTTAACTGACAAGACTAGCAAATATGTCGATTATTAATATTTATCTCATACCCACACACTGACATGTTCTTATGATCGAATTTAAGCGCAGGATTATCTATTTATTATTTTTTTAATTAGCAAAATCTAACATGAATTCTTCTCTTGTTATATCAATAAGTCTTTATAATAGTAAAGATTTGTGTCGAATATAACCACTGAAGTTTGTTTGAACAGATACAGATTGAACTTGAAAATAGTTATTGATAATCTTTTGAAAATGTCGAATACTTTCTTCATTTGAACACACGATTTCCATAGTATTAATCGCTGGTTTTTTGTCTTTTACTGGCTGTTCCTCACTTGATATCTTTGTAATCACACCAATCAGTTGCCGATTGCCATCACATTCTTGAAATGTGAAACATGTGACACAACTAACCAGTGCACTCAGTTGCTCGTAAACATTTTCGTCACATCCGGTACACACAATGAGAAGTTCCATTTGTCCCTTTTCAGTTGAAGGTTCATAAAGAAACCCGTGCTGTACAGAAATATAAGTAACATGGAGATATTCATTGAGAATAGCAGCAGTTATCTTTGACAATGGACTATTAATGTCATCTCGAATACACAATTCTTTTGCACTTTTACCTGTTGTGGTATCGAAAGCCTTCAATAGAAGTTTGCCGAATTCCGGATCAGATCCATGAGCAAGGAATACTTGTTCGTCTCCATAGATTTCAGTAAAGATAAGCTTTGTTTTACTTTCGGCGGCGTGTCGAAATACATAGGTATATACTTTGGGATGATCGCGATGAACAAGATCAGCCATCTTGTTCAATGATTGAAGTATCATGGTTGCCGTTGACTCAGAAGTTGCATCGAATTCGACGTATAGCATGAAAGTCATAATTTTTTCTTTCTCCTATCACAATTGGTTTTACTTACAAAAACAACCGGTTATATAAAGGACTGCGATGAATCATGAGTGTGTTCGGTTCTTATCAAAATATCCATATATGGTAATTTCAATAATACACATAAGAACATTAGTAATCGCAAATTTTATTTCTTATTTAGAAATATGACAATGAAAGCTTTCTGTCTTTCTACTGTGTTGTTCTACCTCTTGTGGCTGCTGTTGTAATTCGATTGATATGAAGAATTCTGGTGATTTTGAAAAATTCTCTTCGAAAATTCCTTCCTGCCAACGTGTATAGATAAAAAGTACTGGAATGTGCATAATATGTCAGAACACTTGTTAGTCGTCCCGCTAAATTCTCCTGTGCAATTCGATATGTACTTTTCACCGTTGACGACGTTAATGATTGATAAAGCTGAAGGATCGATATTGGTAATGTAAATATAAAAATGATCAAAACTTGTGCGATTAACATTCGTAGTAGTTGCTGATCAGTTCGTCGCATCCGTACTGCTGGTTCATTTCTGTTTGGAATAATCAGACGATGCTGCCGAAGATTATGTAAAGTCAAAAGACCGAAAAAGAGCATTAGGATCGATGGACAGAATGAATAGAATATTAAATTCCAAAATCCGATAAATGTTCGATAAGTTCCCTTTCTTCCGAAACATGCCGGAGTGATATTTCCGTATTGATCAGATGAGAAACTTATTTCATAATAGACAAGCATGTGGACATGCACTAAAAACATGATAATTATCGTTACACTAATTGATAATTTTGTCACTTTTATCGAACTCAATCGACGTCTATGGACGTTTGTTGAACTGTGAAGGTATCGATCGATACACGCTAATATAATCAACCACGATGATGATGAACGCGATATATAGAAAATGTAGAACTCAATTTTACATATTGCAAGATTGTAATTCGCTTGGTCAATGGCAAAACTCACTGCTAAAAGACGTACTGGTTGTAGAATAAGAATATAAATTAAACTAAACAGTGTTGACCAAAGAAAATAAACTGCACAGGGTTCACGACGCATTGGCGCTCGAGTAAATACTAAAATATTGAATACAAGGCCAATACCGCCTGTAATGATACTTATTGTTGAGAGTATCAAAACAACTAAAGACGTGGCTTCATTTAATTTTTCTATTGCTGGGTCAACAGATGACATTGATGATGTGATGAGTATTGAATGAAACAGAATCTAAACAGTTGAATACGAATAAAATGAGCGATTCAATACACAACTATGAACCTTCTAGGAAATGAACCGTGTTCTCTGAGTTCTTAAAGAATTACAATACTTCTATAGATTCAAGAGTGATCTGCATCGAGTAGTTCGCAGGAAAAATGTCGTACAATCTCAATATTGTCTACTCAAGGGTACATGATGGAATGTTCTATCAGAGTATAAGGTAATTTGTTCCAAAAAGTTTTTTTTTAACAAGATCCGACAAGAAACGGCATCTTTTTCTGTGATGTTAATAAAAATGAAAGTTTCAAGTGATAATCACCTCTTTGCAGGATTTGGCATACTAATCTGACTAAGATATACCTCGCTACAGGTGGTATGACGTATGTTTCTACTAATTCTTCAAGATGACATTTTCATGCTTTTTGTTCTGTTTTTGATTGAATTGCGTCGCCATCGATAAGTTTATTTTCGAATAGATTAAACTATGAAAAAGCTCTTTGCATTTCCGTATGGCTAGATGAGTTTGTTTCCTTTTCAAATATTTGTCTTCTATCGCAGCTTATTTGAGTATAAAAGAAAAGAAATTTTTTTTATGCGCAGTAAAAGCAATCAGCCGCTTCTAATCAACGGAACCACAAAGTAAACTATCGGAGAAAAACTTCGCTGTCTGATCAGTCTACCTATTTCACAAAGATGGAAAGCAATTTTGTGAAGACTCCCATCTTCTACGTAATGATCTTATTACTTAATCCGATACTTTCTACGTCTGTTGGTTATATCTCGAATACAACATATGTAGCATCGGGTATCATTCAAATATTTTGGAATATAACTTGTGCAGAGTGTACTTGTAAAGCTTTCATATATTCATTTGTTGCTTGGAATTGTATAAACAGTAATTTGACTTGTCTATTAATTCAAAATTACTCGCTAGTCGATACTGGAGTGATTCCAAGTGATAATTCCACGTTCTTCTTTCGACAAATGCCATCCGAGCCGCTGGTGTCGACAAGTGGTAATGTCATCTTTATAAAACAAATAAAAGCTTCTCTTTTACATTACTTTAGGAACAACACAGTCAACATGTAAGACGGAGACTTTTGTTCGTGCGTTTATTTTCTTCTTCGTTTAGACACGGCACTATCAAACGGCACACTAGGTTTCCTATCTGATAAAAACGCAACAGGAAACAGCTGGACTCAAGCGTCATACAAATATCAGGCAATGACATCGACAAATGTCACACTGCAAATTATTCTAGAAACGAATAAAAAAGATGAATGGAATGTTGATGATATTTCCGTTCGTGATTCATCATCAAATGAACACTTGATCAATGGTGATTTCGAAAGTAACCCCTCAAGTACCGGCTGGACAATAAATACGAATGGTTGTAGTAGTAGTGATGCTTCTTTCAGCAGTTCACTAGCTCATTCAGCATCTCATTCTTACCATGATGCATGCGATGGAAAATCTGTCATCCTTACACAATCATTTGCTGTAACTGGTGGAAATCTCTATACAATCAGCTTATCGTATTATTATAGTCCTGATACAGGCGGTGGCAGCAGCCCTGTGAGAATGACCATTGCAATAAACTAATCTTTTACAAGGGTCATATATATATAAGCAATTTCTCTTTTTAGTGAAATAAAAGTATTTCAAGACTTGATTTTATCAAAATTTTCGAATTTTCAGGGAATACGTGTATTTACGAAACCACGTGAGAACATTTATCTTCTCACAGCAAACTGTTTTTGCGTTCGGTAGGTAGGTAGAAGAAAAAAAACGAGTCGTCACTCTCGTCAACAATCTTATATATTATTGTTTGCATAGTTTTACCATTCTGTTGCTATTACATTCTTTCATCGATTTAAAACTCACAAACTGCTGACTATTTTTTTTGCTGTGTGTTCGTTGTAGGAAGAAAGGCTCTCCCAACTTCCGAACTACTTTCATTTTCATACAACATGGCTACTAATAATCTACTACATGATGATTCCGACAAAAAAATACAATCCAAACACTTGGAACTCTTCTGTTTGATCTGGCTCGATCCCGGTACAAATGTTGAGGAGACCGCTTGTGCTGAGCAACGATTACGATCGCTTATAAATTATTTCAAAAGATTTCAAGACGTGAGAAAATGTCAGAAATACATCCAAGAGTGCTCGGAGAACGATCGATTAATTCTAATTGTTAGCGGACAGTTAGGTAAAGCGATAGTACCGTCGATTCACGATTATCAACAAGTCGTCTCTATATATGTTTATTGTATGGATAAGAAAAGAAATGAACTTTGGGCTTCAAAACATTCGAAGGTAGAAATTGGAAATTTCCGTTTGAATTCGTCGTCTTCTCTCTTGTAGGTAAAAGCGGTCATTGTTGAGCTTGAAGAACTCATAACTCGGATTAGTGACGATCATCGAACGCAAGAAAAAATCATCGAACCACTACCGATTGATATTTTCAACGCAGGTGAATCTACCAGCGACGTCAATGGGCAATTTGTCTTCTCTCAGGTCCTCGTCGATTGTCTTCTTCGGTTAAAACCGAACGAGAAAGATAAAACTGAATTGATCGATCGTTGCCAGACGGAATATAAAGGAAATAGTGTTGAACTGGATAATCTTCGTGAATTTCAAAAGACTTACAAGTCTGGTCAAGTTCTATCTTGGTATACAAAAGAAACATTCTTCTATAAAACTCTAAATACTTGTTTACGTAAACAAAATATTCATATGATGTTTCTATTTCATGAATATCTTTCGGATATCAATCAACAATTGAAACAATATCAATCGAAGGACAGTATCACCGTCTACCGTGGACAAATGATGAGTAATGAAGAATTGGAACGAATCAAATCGAGTATGGGTCAACTAATCTCCATCAATTCGTTCTTTTCGACAAGTACAAGCTACGCCAATGCTGTTTCGTTCTTGAAGTTTTCAACTTCTTCCGCTCATCTGCAGCGAGTTTTATTTCAGATCAAAGCCGATCCGAAAAAGGTCACGAACAGGCCATTCGCTGATATTAGTAAATGCAGCGAGTTTGTCAACGAAGCCGAAGTTCTATTTATGATTGGCTCGATCTTTCGGTTGGAAAGTATCGAGTGCGACGATTTGCACATATGGGTCATCAAAATGACTCTCTCCAGTGATGAAGAACATGGATTGAAGCACGTTTTAATGTACATGAAAGCACAAATTGGTACTGGAGAAACGACGCTTCGCACGTTGGGTAAATTTCTTTGGACGATGGGAAAATTTGATTTGGCGGAGACGTACTTCATTCGCTTTTTGAACGAACTGGATTCAAGTGATGGATTAGCTTGCACTTTATACGAAGACCTTGGCCAACTGGCAGCGGTCAAAGGAGAATATAATAAGAGCGTTCAATGGCATCAGAAATCTCTTCAATTGAAAAATTCGAAACAAACGGATACTGCGAAAAGTATTGATGAGCCCGAAAACGCAGGTGAGTCAATGGAATGAACATCTTAACAATAGAATTGGTTTCTTTCAATTGTAGCTCAGCAATTGGCAACAGCCAATGCTCAATCAGAGACTAAGACAGTTGGTGGAATGGATGTTGAAGCATTCAAAAGTTGGCTGACGAATTATATTAAAAAAAGTATGTTGGATATACGTATGAATTGAAGATTTGATTATTTTGTTTGTTACAGAGGCAGCAGCGGTGGCCGAAGAACAAAATTCCCGAACAAAACGTCATCCCAAAAGCGTCGAAAACTTCTGTTATATTCTCGAAAGTCAAATTTCGATCTCCAAAACTGAAGAACAAACTCTGCACGGTTTGATCAATTTGGGTTTCACTTTCGCAGATATCAATTCCGACGAATGTATTAAATTCTTCCGTGGAATTCGGCTCGAACGCATCATTCTCATTCTTTCGAAAGCCAGTTTGCAAGAATTAGCTAAGGCAATCCGCGACGAACCATACCTTAGTGCAATTTATGTAATCGATTCTTCCAGAGGAAGTTCGTGCGACTTGAAGATGTACCGAGGAACTTTTTCTAACATCGCTCAACTTTGTAAACAGCTAGAAACTGACCTTCCAATAATCACATACGATCTAACCAGTATCTGCTCAATTCCTGCTGATTATGCGAAAATGAGTACTATCAATTACTTTCAAGCATTGAAAGATATTGCTCTAGACAAAGACGAAAAACGAAATTTGAAGAAAGAAATGATCGAATTTTGTCGGGAGAAATATGCGGATAATGCTGTTCAGTTAAGGTTCATCGATGAATTCGAAAAGAATTTTCAAGCGGATCAAGCGATTCAGTGGTATTTACGACAGGAAGCTTTTATCTACAAGATGCTGACACGTGCATGTCGAGTGTTCGATGTGGACATTCTCTATAAGCTTCGTTATTTCATTCAAAACTTTCATCGTCGATTAGAATCGTTGAACCGAACGAGCGCTATTACGGTTTATCGAACAATTCGAGTTTCAAAAGGTCTGGTGGAAAAAATGAAGAATTATGAAGGTGGATTGTTTTCATTCAATGAATTTCTCTTTGCTGATAAAAGTCAACCAAATACTGAACCATCGCCTGTTAATCTCGAATCGAAATTGGTTCGTTTTCGTATCGATTTAGCAGCTGGTATCGCGCGATACAACGACTCGTCGAAACCGAATGAAGTTCTCTTGACCTTCGGATTGATTTTTCGTTTGGAAAAAATCGAAGCTGTCGATGATGAGACTTACAATGTTAAATTAACAGTCGATGACAAGGCACTCAAAGATGGCCAACAGGTCTCGAAAGATTTACGTGAAGCAGTTCGCGGAACGTTTCCAATGATACGTATGGCCAAATTGATGTGGCAAAGAGATTTATACGACGATATGGAATACTTTTCTACGATTGTACTCAATGATTCATTAGCAGCTAATGACGAATCATCGAATATAGCTCTTGGAGGATTACTTCATTCTCTAGGAAACCATTGTTATGAAACAAAACAATACGACAAAGGATTAATTCATTTTCAAAATGCTTTAAAAGTTTATCAACGTGTTCTATCGCCCGACGATCTTCGATTGACACCGACTTATAACAATATCGGCAGTATTTATCATCGACAAGATTTAAATGAGAAAGCATACGAATACCATCGAAAGGCGTTCGATATTCAAAAGAATTCGACACGTCCAGATATGGATTCCGTTTCGACGTATGCAGGAAATATCGCCTCAGTTCTAATCAAACTACATAAATACAAGGAGGCAGTGAAGTTCTCAGAAATCAATTTAAAATTCGAAGAAAAACTTCATCCTGATAAAAACGACGCGCAAATGGCGGCGAAGTATTACAACCATGCCGGAATGCAATACCGAGCCGAACTCTACGCAGAAGCGTTGGATAACTACGAAAAATGTTTAGCTATTGAACTGAAATGTCATCCAGCAAATCATCCGACAGTTGCAGCAACTTATCACAGCATAGGAACAGCCTTGGACAAACTTGGACGATTTAAAGAAGCCAAGGAAGCAGTAGAAAAAGCGGTTGAACGTCTACTTTGTACTAAAAAGGAAGACGATCAAGATGTTCAATCACACAAAGCTTACATTAAGAAATTAGAAGGAAAACTGTGGATGAGAGACATGTTGAAGGCAGCATGAGTTTTTTTATAACTATTTTTCTTTCTTTGAGTGATAGTGGATCACATCGCTACAAAATAAAGATGTGGAGCGATTCATCAACATTTTTCTGTTTAAATATTCAATAATTTCGGCAACTCCGAAGAAAATAAATAATAAAATGCTTGTGATCGGAAGAATTGCGTTCCATAAAGAATAGACTGTCATTGATGGTTTTGTTTAGTATGTAAAACTTTCTCCTTCAAGGACAACTTACCGAAAAATAGAATGTCTGTAACCAATTTGATTTATTGGTTCCAAATTCTGATCACTGTCGCTACACCCATAAGTAGATGAAATTGTCCTATGAAATAAAAGGAGTGATCGACTGTTTTATAGACGTGTCATACAATCAACCTCGGTTTAGTTCCTGTGCAATATGGGATGTAAACGCGAGCACGATAATCACCAGTACCCCGATTGGGTCCTCCCCCTATGGCCTCTTTATCAATACGAACAATACAATTTACATAACATCACGAAAGAAGAATAACGCTCAGATATGGACTGAGGGCGCAATCAGTTCAACAAATATTTCTTCATTTAGTTTGAATGCTTCTGCTGGAATTTTTGTTACTAATACAAAGGATATTTACATTGATAATGGGCTTTACAATAATGTAGTTGTGATGTGGCCATACAATCAGATGACCAGTAGAATCGTTATGAATGTATCTGGACGGTGTCATTCTCTTTTTGTCGATATTAACAATACTCTTTACTGTTCCATGGGAGATCTACATCAAGTTATGAAGAAATCATTGAATACTAGCGTTGATATATTACCAACAGTTATTGCAGGCAGTGGAGTAAGCGGATCAGCGGCAAATCTGCTTGCAAATCCGTACGGTATCTTTGTTGATACTAACTTTGACTTATATGTCGCCGATAGTTCAAATAATCGTATTCAAGTTTTCCATCGTGACCAACCAAATGGCACAACTATTATTGGCATCGGATCATCAAATAGCTTTGCACTGAACGATCCATCGGATGTCACACTCGACGCAGATGGTTATCTATTTATTGTAGATAAGGGTAAAAATCGCATCATTGGATCAGGACCGTATGGATACCGGTGTATTGCTGGATGTTCAGAAATAAGCAATTCAACACCTGATACACTTTCAGGACCGTTTATTATCGCTTTTGACAGTCACGGAAATTTGTTTGTTCTCGACACGAATAATGCTCGAGTCCAAAAATTTACTCTCAAAAACAATTCCGTCGCTTGCAGTGAGTTAGTTTTGAAAACAAAGTCGTACGTTTTTCTTCTTTGTCTTTTTCAGCTGACCCAACAACAATACAAACATCAATTACACTTGAGGACAGTACAACTTCGGTGCAATTAACAACAACATACGTTGAATCGGCCGAATTTGTCACGACAGTCATTGAGACCTCAACGACTTCTTTATTCAATGACCAATCCACTACAGTTGTAACAATGTTGACTAGTTAGGATTCTTTCTCTTATTTAAATAGCATCGGGTCACTGTGTTCTTTTCTTTAAGCAAATACAGAATCGAGTTCTTCATCGGAACTGTTGTCAACAACAGCTAATATGACCGTTGAGACACAATCAGTTTATTTTGTTCCTCAAAAGTGCGTCGATTCTAATTACATGGGTTTGTCGTGCAACCAAACAAGTAACTCATGCGATATGCTTCTTCCATGTCAAAATGCAGGCACTTGCTATTTTAATGTCAACGCTTCCGATCAGTATTTCTGTTTATGTAACAATGGTTTCAATGGTACCCATTGTCAATACGATACACGACCTTGTTCACCTAATAAATGTTGGAATAATGGTAAATACAGTCCTTTTTGGCATACAATGTTAACGTAGTTGTATTTTGTCAGGTTTTTGTACGGCAACGTCGAGCATAAGTTTTTCATGTTTATGTTCTTCTGCTTGGCAGGGTGTGTATTGCCAGACAAAAGTTAACTATTGTGGCAATGTTACTTGCTATAACAATGCTGTCTGTCGTTCTCTACTGTCTGATTACAAATGTGAATGTTTAACTAGCAGTTTCTCCGGCCGCTTTTGTGAACACAAAACCAATTCTCTTGTCACTAAAGAAATCATTACAAAAACCCTAACTTATGTTGCTGTCATCGCTGTTGCAACGGTTGCTCTCTTTGTAATTGTGCTCGATGTGTTAAAATACGTATTTCATATCGATCCAGTCTATCAAGAACGTAAACGATTGTCATCTCATCGAAAACAATGTGCTTCTGTTCAACCTAAACCTCGTGTTGTCCTTAGACCTGTTTATGTCAATTAACCTTGAAATGAAAATTTATTGAAGATGAGGAATAAATAAATCATAACTAGCAAAGCGTCTTTCTTCTTGATTTTGCACGTCACTTTCCAGCCATAAACGAATTCTTAAGTCTTTTGTTTCGATCTGTTGTTGTTGATCGAAAGTCACAGGTTCGACTGTCGTATTGTCTCGACATGGAAAACAATGAAGACATTTTGTTTGTACAATAGGAACACTTGATGAGATCATGTTGGAACATTGCTCAAAGAAGCACCAATTTCGATTCGGACGGAATTTTTTATGGAAAATTTTCCCACCTGTTTCCGGTTTCCGCTGGAAAAAGTCGAGCACTTCTTCTTCGGTCTGATCAACTGGATGCCATTTGGTTCTGAAACGATGTGCAATACGAATCGCCATTTTCGACGGAGGCATATTTACAATTGCCGAGGAAATGATCTGATACATGAGTTTCGGATCGTTGATCGGTCGTATTCGTTGAGATTCGCGAGTTCGAAATCGACTGATTCCACAGCAATGAACATCACCACTAAAGAATGTAATTCGAACTTTTTGTTCTTCAGCGAGCTTTTGCAAACGAATAAGAACACGATTGCGCTCTTCAATATGATTCCGATGTGTCCACTCGTCGAGCAGATCATCATAAAGTTCAGGCAAACCAAAGATTGAATTAGTTTTCTTAACTATTGGAGCTGTGCGACATCTGTATGGAAGATTCTTCAGGAGTTCGAATATCGATTCAGCCAGACGAACACGTATGAATGAGAATGGAACAGGAAATAAAACAATCAGGTGTTCAATATCATCCAATTCATTTTCCAGTCGATCAAATATCATTTGCCAAGTATTTTCGTGATGAACCGTTTCCGTATCACGTTCCGTTCGTCCGTCTGCACCCATGATTGCTAAATGTCGACCGCAACGAGCAAAAAAGTTGTATCCTTCATACCCGAATAATCGATGCTCGCGAGCTTTCTCAAATGTAGTATGGTGTTGAAATAACAATCGTATTTTCTGTGCTGCAAGAAACAATCCCATCATCATTGGACTATCATGAAGTAGTGGAGGATAAGAACCAGCACCATCGAAGATATCGTGATCATCCCACATCATTAAACTCGGAATTGACGATAGGGCTTGTTTGATTTCCGAACGCCGTTGCCAATTTTCAATATACGTGTTAAAATGGTACTGTTCAACTTGTTCTTTTAGATCGTCACGAAAATCTGTCGTCCATTTAGCATTCCAGTCCATATTGAGCCAAGCACGAAGAAATGGAATGTCTTCAAAGATGAAATCGATATAATTTTGATCACCACCCCATAGTAATACATGTAGATGAGTTTGTTCATGAATTGAAAGTAGATGTTTCCATACATTTGAAAAAGTTAAGTCTGCGGCAACTTCTTCAGGTACATACGCATCGAATCCATTGCACGAGAAGAAACCTCCACGCCATTTTTCATCGAGGTGAGGAATAAAAAACGCACCTGTACTTTTCTTGTCGCCCCAATCGATCATCCAACGTACTTTTTCTTCGCCTTCACCGGCACGAAGTTCAATATGAACATTCACACGATAGGCACATAAGTTGAAAAGATTCTCGTACAAAACTTCCCAATTATAGTCCACTTTCGCTTGACAAGTAAACTCAATCGTCGGTCGATCGTACGAAACGTGTCGAAAGATTAATACACTACCAATCCATAGCATTTGTGTTAAATCAGTGGTAATAAATTGCAAATACGGTCCTAATGCTGGCCCAGGTGGACGTGGTGGATGACGAGTCGACAACGAGTCACTTGCATTTTCAATAGGTGGTTCAATATCAGGAATTTTCGATTTAGTTATTTTAGGTAAAGGATAGTCGCCCATAAACTGAGGATTGCTATTGACCGGATTTGGTATATTTGCGTTCCAATCATTCTTTTGTGTTGAAATATCTCTTTGAGTTTTATCTACCATTGAAGTTTAATCATTAGATGTTACAGAGTAGAAAGAGAAATGTATTGACAATGTGCGGAAGAAATTTATTGTTCTTTGCTGGCGTCTTTTTTTTTACTATTCTACACGTCTTTGATGCTTCTTTTTTTTTCGAAAGAACGACAAAAAAAGAAAACAAGCGACCGTCGAGTTCACGTTCTGTCATTTTCTTACTTCATATAGGCGGATGAATACTTTTTTTATTAATAGATAGAAAAATGTTGCCTCGCAACTCTAGGTAACAAGTACAGAGTCAATATGTATGCACTTGTGTTAATATAATTTTTTTAAATTGACGTATGTATCTTTTGTCATTGATATGCGATTCATCGGGTGCGAGTTAGAGTTTTCCATCCTTGTTGATATTTGTCTACAGGTGAACTGGAAGCAATAAACGAAGAGAGAATCTAATTAGAAAGCGCTTGATGGTACTGCAGAGTGAGCCGCACAAATTTCTTTTACACCCTCGCTAATCTGCAGTAGATATACGTCTTAGCAATGACCGTCAGTTCTGATGTGTTGTAATCTCTTAGTTAGTCAAAGTAAATCACGTAGCCAAGGTCAGTCGCTCATTTTAACGTTAAAGAAACAATTGCTGATGTATAAACATTGGATTAGAACGTCCTTGATTCTTGCTTTGTTTGCACTACGTCGATTAATCTTCGCATTAATCTTTACATGTATCTCATCACCTGATACTTGCCAATCTCAATTACTTTTCGTTGGCTATTTCATAGGATGCTTTCCACAAATCGGAACGTTAATTATTTTCGTCTTGTAATCGAAAGAGTCCAGAGAACAACTTGTTAATTTATTGAAACGAGACAGAACAAATTAACTTCAGAATCACATTTCTAGGCGCCATCTTAGAAAATGTGCCATTTTATTTTGTGCAGTGTTAAGTTTGCTTTTGTTTCCTTCGTGTTCTTGAACAACCTTCAATGCTTACCTATGTCTAGAAGCATTTATTGCTTTGGTGTCATATAGAGAAAAAAAACTTATTGATTGTACTTTTCTCACTATTTATTCTTCAAAACATGTGGAAAACAATGTAATGAATGACAAAGACATTCGTCATTGATTTATTGAAAAGAAAACTTGGAAGCAAATGTTTCTTTGGCATCCATAAATCGTACAGACACTCTCTCCAACCGATTGATAAAATTCAAATCATGATTAGAATCAATGTTATGCGATATTTCATGACATGTGACCATAAAATAAAAATTAACTATAGTACGAACTATCACAGAGGACGATGATGCAGAAGGTAAGACTGTTTTCAAGTCATCCCAAAAGACCTGTTCGAAATAACGAAGATTGAAGAATAATGCACCATCACTGTTAAAAGCAATTCGAGCTACCCAAAGATAAAGATAGAATAATGTCAATTCACATGAATATCGATTTCTTACCACTATCAACATCTCGGAATAGATGCATCGTCTCCACCGGAATGCGAAATACTTGTTTGGCAAGACTGGAAAGTAGGTAAGACAGGTGTTTACTTTGTTCAAGCATAAGATCAGTTAGTATCACATCGACATCAAGATAAAGCGCAATGCCGTTGAAAAGATGTTCATGACGAATCATATTTGTCGAGGGAATAAATTCGCATGAGTTATTGATTTCATTGCGGGAAAATTCCGGTTGATTGTAAGTTCTTTGACTGTATGAACTGCTCGTTCGAATCATTTTGTTGATGTCAGTATCGTCGTCAAATTTATATCGTCCGAAATGTGCAACACGGTCGCGTTCGACTCGACTAGTGCGATTCTCTTGTGAATTCGTTGGCTCCGTCGAAGGAGAAACGAAATAACTTTTCAAACTTTGAAGAAAACTGCGTGATGATTGAGTATCATCATCAGGCTGTACTTGTTTATGGTGATGATGTTCGAACGACGTCTCCAATGGTTTTTGTTCTCTGACGGACGCGTTCGTGGTAGTTGATGCTCGTGCCGAGACTTTCTCTTCTAATGTGCTTTGCTCAACATTTAAAGACAGTTTAAAAGCTATAGAAAAAATATCATTCTTATCCATCGGTTCATTCATCGTACGTGATAGCTTACGTTGCTGTTCTTGAGTTTTCAACAGACGATCGACTGGAATACCACGACGTTTGAGCGTTTCTAACGAAGATGCCAATTTATCACTAATCGAATGCACTAACGCATCCAGCGGTTTCTTATAAACATATCTTGTCAGTTCTGTAGCTATGTCGATATAATCCAAAACAGGAATATCTTTCTGTATATACAAAGCCACTTTATTTTTATCATGCTCCAATGCGCAAGTACTACATTCTGTCGACTAGAATAAACAGGAACAAAAGACGTTGAATCTATCAATCGAATTATTTCCTCACATTCAATGTAGTAGTTCGATTGTCGAAAGTTAACTGACACTGAATCCCTTCCGATTCATACACATGGAATTTTGTTCGTAATAATTCAATGCGCTTCGCATCGATACCTTCCATTTGTTCTCCCTGTCAATTGAAACAAATATTACATGACTTCAGAGGAAAATCGAATGAATTTACCCTATTATTCACAAATAACATATCTAAACGATGATGAATTAAATCGTACAGTTTTTTGCTTCGATCTGTACCGACGAATTTGCCTAGAAGAACAGTACGAAGATGATATCAATTCCAAAAGACTAGTTTTAACAAACCGCGATGCACTAAAGTTCTTTTCACTGATTCAGAAATCCAATTTGCTCCAAACTGTTCATACAATTTCGTTAATTCAGGTTCATCCGGCGCGCACAATGGTCGCAAATCAATAGCAGATTGATGATCATCATCCAAATAGATGTCACCGGGTTTGGCTATTTTAAATATTCGATCTTTACTTCCATCCGGTCGGTCGATAATTTGATAACCTAAACACCAAGGTTTGTTGATCAAACGACTTCGTAGTGGATCCACTGTGAATTGCCGTGCAACATGTGACACTGCCGCGAGCTGTTTTAAGCAATTGATGTAGACGCGTAGTTTCCTGGCGAGAACTTCATTACTATTTTGTGCACTGGGACTAAAGTAGTCTGCTTGCCGTTCAATTAATAGTTCAGCTAAAACTTCTGCTGAAGGATACGAAACCACACCAATGCCGAGCAGAAACGAATTGGCTTCATAACCATAATCTACGTAATCGATTAGGCCATGTGTGGCGATATCATCGATTATATTGACATGTGTGCCTGCTGGTGCACTACTGCTCGTTGAATCACGAGAACGGATGAAGATTTGAGATGGTTTGACATAGGTCTTGGTTCCTAGAAAAAAAGACGAGATTCTGATGCGTTTTTTTAGTGAACTCATCAAACAAACCTGGTAGAGGAATGAAAGCTATGGTCGACACTTTTTGAATAAATAGTCGATTGAGACCGTCCAGTTTATTTAGATAAGAAAAATACTTCGGCGCCGTTTCATCTATTAATAATTGATTTCGCTTTCCCATGAGAATATCGAAGGCAACCGGTAAAGAAGGACGATACTTCACACCGAGTAAGCCGATGTCAAAATGATGTTGAAAACACCGAAGCACTTCTGGAAGAAGAGATGGACACAACGGACCAGGTTCTATTGAAAACAAAAGTCAACATCAATCGAATGAAAGTCTCGTACAAACAGACCTTTGAAAACAACGTCCGGTGTTGCTAAGATCACATCGGTGGAAGCATCGAGATCGGGAGGAGATGATGGAAGAAAAGCAACTTTGTTGTTAGCACTTCTCCATAGTTTCGAATAATACTGTTGAAAATTCTCCGCAAAGAAAACAAGTGCGTTGGGTAGNGTTGTTAAGATCACATCGGTGGAAGCATCGAGATCGGGAGGAGATGATGGAAGAAAAGCAACTTTGTTGTTAGCACTTATCCATATTTTCGAATAATACTGTTGAAAATTCTCCGCAAAGAAAACAAGTGCGTTGGGTAGTTTATATTGATCTCTGCTCTTCAATCCTTTGTGATGTTCTTGATCAATATGAGCAAGTAGTTTGTGTAGGTCGGGTACTTCTCTAACACCCAATTCTTTAAGAAACGCATATTCTCCAGAACGTGGTTCAATATCTGGCCAATCGACAATGAGTAAATTGTTCCATTGAAGACATTGGGCAACATACGGAAAATGAAGTTCACTTGGAATATATCTACGTTTCAATTCACCATTGGATTCTAATGTGGTTCCTGTAATACAGTGATTGTGTTTCAATGCTCGCAGATCATTCTCGCTAAGATTTTTTCGTTGTTGTACCAGATACTGAACGAACGCTTGTACAGTTTGCGAATCATCCGATGCGAGACTATCTTTGGAAGTATGTTGGCCGTTGTTTGATAGTGTTGGGATATGAATCGTTCGACATCCGATAGATTTCACAAGTTCAATGGAAACAGGATATTCCTTCGACTCAGTTTCATTCTTATTCGATACAATTTGTGGTATGTAAAGCGTAATTATAGGAAGATTAGATGACAGGCTTGCCGATGGAATATACGATTCATTCGGTGATTTCATACCTTGAGTAGTTGGAATACATTTGATGTTCGATAGTGTTGTTTTGATGCGAGTCGACTCAGTCTCGTTAAATTTATTCCAATGGTGAGAAATAAAACTGAGAAGAACCTTGGATGTATTGTCTTGCAAGAACAGATAATGTTGATTGTCGTCAAGGTAGAATTCTACGAGATGCTTAATCGAAACTGGACTTAATGATAAACGTCTTTGTAGATCGTCTCGAGCTAGATGAGAAACAACATCTGAAGGTAATACATCGGATGGAAGTGGAAGCGAGGGGAGATTGAATGTATCAAAGTACTGGATTTTAGTCAGTTTGATAATCGGTGATTGACGTGTGTGACGAAAACGTATTTTCGAGAGGATTTCTTTGATAAAGGATTTATTGTAAATATCATTGGTGCACAACCAACGGAGTAGACCGATAAATTCGTCGACTAAAAGAATCGTTTCATGAATTTTCTTTGTGATTGTGTCGTTGTCGATTTCTTCAATCCATTGACGCTGTTTCAAGATCTTGAAAAAATCATGTTTGCTTATTTCATAGGGCACTATCGGTACGGATAAAAACGTCTCGATATGTTTTGACTTAGTCAAAAACGCTTCTGTCGATGGAACAAGAACGAGATGAGTATCTGTCGGAGAGCGTCGCACAGGAACGAGAATTTCTTTATCTGACGAGAAGAATCCATCAACCAAAATACGACCTGAAAAGCAGCTGCTAAGAATATCGTAGAAAAAAAAACTATCTTCTTACCAATTTCTTTATTCGGAGATGACTCTTGAAAAGCATACGGAGATAGGATAGCGTCGAAATGATCATGTGTCTGATCGGTGGCTTGTTCGACCGCATCAGCCATTGTTTGGTCGTAAATAAATCGAACAATTTGTCCGATAGAAATCAACAATTGATCGTTCCAAATAGATATATACGGATCTTGTAAGTCGATATTTTCCCGTTCGATCGTTGGAATTAAATGACTGAAGACATGCATACCGATTCCTGTCGTTTGGTGTGTAGCCAGACCGATGAAAATCTGTCCTGCAGGATTGATTTGTCCATTGATCAATTTCAATGGAATCAAACCTTTCAATAGGAAAGTATTCGCATTGTCATTAGTCAGGACTTGCCACTGTTCTTCTTGAAATATCTAAATGAATCGATCGATAAAAACATAATATATGAAAATCATTCGAACAGACGTTATTCGATGGGAATAGAAATTCAATGTGTATCGTCTTTGGTAAACTCTTCTTGAGAACTCGTTCAATTTGTTGATGAAACTCTTTGTCACCAATAACTTGTGCTTCGACATCAATATGATTGAGTGTAATCGATGGGCCATGCTGGATGGTGAACGTTTGCTCAGTTTGGACAAATGACTTAAAACGAAGGAGATTGTTTTCATTACTGGCATTCATTCGCTTCGCAACTGAAGAGAGTTTTGTTGATTGTGATATTTTTGCCGTTTTGTTGACTTGAAAAACGACGAGACCATTGATTTTGATAATTAATTCATTGATGTGCTTCGTAAAGGAGAGAACTTTGGTAAAATATGCTTTTAGTTGCGGTAAATCCATGGTTGGAACAATTTCATTGGTTGCAGTATTCGTTGTGGATTTTGCTGGTCGGTTCCTACCTCTCTTCCCCTTCTTACGAGTGTTGCTATTTGTACTCGAATTCTCTGGTATGGGCGCTTTCGTTTGTAGAATATATTTATTCTTCATACTGAGTATAACCGATGTGGATGCGGATTGCTCTTCGGAAGGTAATTCTTTTCTAAAAGTTGTCAACGATTTTCCATTTTGCCAAACGAAAGCTAAACGATGTTTACCCGATTGTATCATCGGTCGTTCGGAATATGAGAAGACAGAAAAGAATCCGACACCGAATTGCCCAATTGCGTCCACGTTTGTATTGCCTTCAGCGATCGTGATCACACGTTTCCAATCGTCCTCAGTGAAAACATTCCCATTGTTGATGGTACGAATTTCTGTTATCAAACAATTATGAAAATCGTTCTCCGGTGGGCTAGCAGCCGTCGGAGGCGAAATATCGGTAAAAGAATCATCGGTTTTCTCTGTAGTCGCAGTCCAAGTCCATGGAGTTTTAAGAAATTGCCCAACACCTCCCAATAAGTAATTGAATGAATCATCTTTACTAGCAGATTCATACGATTCAGTAGCACTTGTCGGATCACAGGTTATTTCAAGTGTGAATGATGTAGATTGAGCATCATCAGAATTTTGAATTAATTCACGGTACACAACGAAATCAGATGAGTAACGAGCTAACATTTTATCGATTAACATGCGTTGATTGACTTCAACGCGATCTTCAATACCTTCATTGACTGTTTTTAACCATAATTCATCATAGTTCGACGACATGTTAATTTTCTTACCCTTTTACTTGAAATATCTAAAAATATTTATTAAAAATCTACACAAATGACGTTAAAGAAACTAATTTTTACACCTTTCAGCAATTTATGAATAATTTTCATCGGTTATAAGCAAGTGAAGGTGTATTACGCAATCAAATACTGACGTGGAGAGAAAATTCCATTTACGAAATATGTCTGAAACACTGCCACGTTATTTATCAGTCATCGAGGACAAAAAAAAGTGCGTACGAACACGGTAGAAGAAATGACAACAACAGAAAGAAAAGAACGAAGCGAAGGAAGGAAGGAAAAAGCAAGAATATACTTCATTCACACGTTACACGCTTGCATGAGTCATACGAAAACAGAAGATGCTCGATGCAATATACGATTGGATAACAATCGACAAAGATAGTTCGATGCATTCGACAGTGTGAGAGTGATCCTATGTCCGTTTGAGTATATTTAATTGTCGAGGATTCGTCGCTCCTCCTATCCACATATTGTCGATGCTGATATTATCAATAGTTTTCACTGCTGTTTTTAAATAGAGTCCGTTTTTGTTGCCGTAAGCAGCTTCTGCATCTCTCAAAGCGCGTATGACTTTCACCAAATGAACATGTTCAGCAAAGTCAGTATTTATTGTTCGATCGATGACATAGTTCCAACTTTGTTTGTGATCGTCGAGTTTGTAATCATAAATCAGTGTTGGATCGATCTTCGGTCGCATCTGAGCAATATAGACGACGATGATAAAGAAAAATATTTGCCAGAGAAGATGTTTGATCACTTGCTGATCGTGTACGTGTTGGCGAATAACACAAATCGCATTCATTGATGTGAACAGGTGAAGAAGAAAGAAATCGAATTCGATTTGGTCGGGTTTGTGTGCAGCACCATAGAGATAAACGGTTAGATCGAGTAATTCCTCGATTATTTTGTCCAAATTGTTCACATCCACAAGCCATTGATCATAATGCGACAGAATCAGATCCGTGGATGTTTCCACAATGGATTCTAAGTTTGCAACACCAGGTCCATCGAATAATGGTAATCGTTCATCTGAACGAAGATCTTGAATGATTGTCAGAGCCGATTTTAAACCGATTTTCGGTGGCTTTAGCTGATCAATCACTTCGTGCAAATAGTTATAGCAGACAGCACTCAATGTCAATGCTTCACTAGCCACTATTTGACTATCCAATTCAAATGCATAACCAATATGGATGAGAGGATGACCGAGACCACTGACAACACTGTTGATCAATGGCTTTGGTTGATTGTCGAGTAGAAATTCCAAAAATTTCTTGTGCCATTCATTTCCACTTGCCGATAGTTCTCGATCAAAAAAATCTTGATACGCTTGACAAAAGCGTCTATCACCGATTGATTTACGCCAATTATCTCGAGTAATTTCATGTGGTGATGGTTTGTAATCGTTGAATTCATCGTGCATGTTTTTGTACAATTGCTCGACTTTATCATCTGTAACACCCAAAAAGTATAGACTACCCAAATGGTGAGCAGTATGAGTGTGAAAGCCATGATGATCAGTCACTTGATGATTTGCGTGTGTATCTGCTAATAGTTTGTCAATTACGGTACGACTCATCGTTAACCAATAGAACGAAGCATCTAATACGTTATGGTGAATATATATACAGACGCATGTTTTGCAACGTCATGATAGACTTGCCTGTTCTCTTCTTTTCTATTCGTTCCTTTGCGATGTAATGCTGACGATGCCACTGCGATCAACAGCGACATAAAAATGGCCGACTTTCTCTTTAGAAATACTTCAACGAATTTTATTACTCCGATCAAGTGAAAATGTCAATACTGATTTTTAATGAAAAAAGTAAAGCGCACAAGTTACACAACAGTGAATATCATGGTTTTAGTTGACATAATTTCTGTAAATCGTANTTTGTACGGCAACGTCGAACATAAGTTTTTTATGTTTATGTTCTTCTGCTTGGCAGGGTGTGTATTGCCAGACAAAAGTTAACTATTGTGGCAATGTTACTTGCTATAACAATGCTGTCCGTCGTTCTCTACTGTCTGATTACAAATGTGAATGTTTAACTAGCAGTTACTTCGGCCGCTTTTGTGAACACAAAACCGATTCTCTTGTTACTAAAGAAATCATTACAAAAACACTAACTTATGTTGCTATCATCGCTGTTGCAACGGTTGCTCTCTTTGTAATTGTGCTCGATGTGTTAAAATACGTATTTCATATCGATCCAGTCTATCAAGAACGTAAACGATTGTCATCTCATCGAAAACAATGCACTCCTGTTCGACCTAAACCTCGTGTTGTCCTCAAACCTGTTTACGTCAATTAACCTTGAAATTAAAATTTATTGAAGATGAGGAATAAATAAATCATAACTAGCAAAGTGTCTTTCTTCTTGATTTTGCACATCACTTTCCAACCATAAACGAATTCTCAAGTCTTTTGTTTCGATATGTTGTTGTTGTTGTTGTTGATCAGAAGTCACAGGTTCGACTGTCGACGTATTGTCTCGACATGGAAAACAATGAAGACATTTTGTTTGTACAATAGGAACACTTGATGAGATCATGTTGGAACATTGCTCAAAGAGGCACCAATTTCGATTCGGACGGAATTTTTTATGGAAAATTTTCCCACCGGTTTCCGGTTTCCGCTGGAAAAAGTCGAGCACTTCTTCTTCGGTCTGATCAACTGGATGCCATTTGGTTCTGAAACGATGTGCAATACGAATCGCCATTTTCGACGGAGGCATATTTACAATTGCGGAGGAAATGATCTGATACATGAGTTTTGGATCGTTGATCGGTCGTATTTGCTGTGATTCGCGAGTTCGGAATCGACTGATTCCACAGCAATGAACATCACCACTAAAGAATGTAATTCGAACTTTTCGTTCTTCAGCAAGCTTTTGCAAACGAATAAGAACACGATTGCGCTCTTCAATATGATTCCGATGTGTCCATTCGTCGAGCAGATCATCATAAAGTTCAGGCAAACCAAAGATTGAATTGGTTTTCTTAACTATTGGAGCTGTGCGACATCTGTATGGAAGATTCTTCAGAAGTTCGAATATTGATTCAGCCAGACGAACACGTATGAATGAGAATGGAACAGGAAATAAAATAATCAGGTGTTCAATATCATCCAGTTCATTTCCCAGTCGATCAAATATCATTTGCCAAGTATTTTCGTGATGAACTGTTTCTGTATCACGTTCCGTTCGTCCGTCTGCACCCATGATCGCTAAATGTCGACCGCAACGAGCCAAAAAGTTGTATCCTTCATGCCCGAATAGTCGATGCTCGCGAGCTTTCTCTAATGTAGTATGGTGTTGAAATAACAATCGCATCTTCTGTGCTGCAAGAAACAATCCCATCATCATTGGACTATCGTGAAGTAGTGGAGGATAAGAACCAGCACCATCGAAGATATCGTGATCATCCCACATCATTAAACTCGGAATTGACGACAGGGCTTGTTTGATTTCCGAACGTCGTTGCCAATTTTCAATATACGTGTTAAAATGGTACTGTTCAACTTGTTCTTTTAGATCGTCACGAAAATCTGTTGTCCATTTAGCATTCCAGTCCATATTGAGCCAAGCACGAAGAAACGGAATATCTTCAAAGATGAAATCGATATAATTTTGATCTCCACCCCATAGTAATACATGTAGATGAGTTTGTTCATGAATTGAAAGTAGATGTTTCCATACATTTGTAAAAGTTAAGTCTGCGGCAACTTCTTCAGGTACGTACGCATCGAATCCATTGCACGAGAAGAAACCTCCACGCCATTTTTCATCGAGGTGAGGAATAAAAAACACACCTGTACTTTTCTTGTTACCCCAATCGATCATCCAACGTACGTTTTCTTCGCCTTCGCCGGCACGAAGTTCAATATGAACATTCACACGATAGGCACATAAATTGAAAAGATTCTCGTACAAAACTTCCCAATTATAGTCCACTTTCGCTTGGCAAGTAAACTCAATCGTCGGTCGATCGTACGAAACGTGTCGAAAGATTAATACGCTACCAATCCATAGCATTTGTTTTAAATCAGTAGTAATAAACTGCAAATACGGTCCTAATGCTGGCCCAGGTGGACGTGGTGGATGACGAGTCGACAATGAGTCACTTGCATTTTCAATAGGTGGTTCAATATCAGGAATTTTCGATTTAGTTTCTTTAGGTAAAGGATAGTCGCCCATAAACTGAGGATTGCTATTGACTGGATTTGGAATATTGGCGTTCCAATCATTCTTTTGTGTTGAAATATCTCTTTGAGTTTTATCTGCCATTGAAGTTTAATCATTAGATGTTATAGAGTAGAAAGAGAAATGTATTGACAATGCGCGGAAGAAATTTGTTGTCCTTTGCTGGCGTCTTTTCTTTACTATTCTACACGCCTTTGATGCTTCTTTGTTTTTTGAAAGAACGACAAAAAAAAGAGAACAAGCGACCGTCAAGTTCACGTTCTGTCATTTTCTTACTTCATATAGGCGGATGAATACTTTTTATTAATAGATAGAAAAATGTTGCCTCGCAACTCTAGGTAACAAGTACAGAGTCAATATAAATGCACTTGTGTTAATATTAATATTTTAAAATGTACGTATGTATCTTTTTTCATTGATATGCAATTCATCGGGTGCGAGTTAGAGTTTTCCGTCCTTGTTGATATTTGTCTAAAGGTGAACTGGAAGCAATAAACGAAGAGAGAATCTAATTAGAAAGCGATTGATGGTACTGCAGAGTGAGCCGCACAAATTTCTTTTACACCCTCGCTAATCTGCAGTAGATGTATGTCTTGGCAATGACCATCGGTCCTAATGTGTTGTGATCTCTTAGTTAGCCAAAGTAAATCACGTATCCAAGACCATTCATTCATTTTAACGTTAAAGAAACAATTGCTGACGTATAAACATTGGATTATAACGTCCTTGATTCTTGTTTTGTTTGCACTACCTCGATTAATCTTCGCAGTAATCTTTACATGTATCTCATCACCTGATACTCGGCAATCTCATAGGATGTTTTCCACAAATCGGAACATTAATTATTTTCGTCTTGTGATCGAAAGAGTCCAAAGAACAACTTGTTAGTTTATTGAGACGAGACAGAACAAATTAACTTCAGAATCACTATCTTAGAAAATGTGCCATTTTATTTCGTATGGTGTTACGTTTGCTTTTGTTTCCTTTGTGTTCTTGAACAACCTGCAGTTTTCATCCACATCTACGAAACGACTGGTCCCTTGTCTAGAAGTATTTATTGCTTTGGCGTCATATAGGAAAAAACTTAATGATTGTACTTTTCTCACTATTTATTCTTCAAAACATGTGCAAAACAATGTGATTATAGATAACAAAGACACTCAACGTTGACTTACTGGAATGAAAACTTGGAAGCAAACGTTTCTTTGGCATCCATAAATCGTACGGAAACTCTCTCCAACCGATTGATAAAATTCAAATCATGATTAGAATCAATGTTATGCGATAGTTCATGACATGTGACCATAAAATAGAAATTCACTATAGTACGAACTATCGTAGACGACGATGATGCAGAAGGTAAGACTGTTTTCAAGTCATCCCAAAAGACTTGTTCGAAATAACGAAGATTGAAGAATAATGCACCATCGCTGTTAAAAGCAATTCGAGCTAGTCGAAGATAAAGATAGAATTATGTCAATTCACATGAATATCGATTTCTTACCACTATCAATATCTCGGAATAGATGCACCGTCTCCACCGGAATGCGAAATACTTGTTTGGCAAGATTGGAAAGCAGGTAGGACAGGTGTTTACTTTGTTCAAGCATTAGATCAGTTAGTATCACATCAACATCAAGATAAAGTGCAATGCCGTGGAAAAGATGTTCATGACGAATCATATTTGTCGAGGGAATAAATTCGCATGAGTTATTGACTTCATTGCGGGAAAATTCCGGTTGGTTGTAAGTTCTTTGACTGTATGAACTACTGGTTCGAATCATTTTGTTGATGTCAGTATCGTCGTCAAATTTATATCGTCCGAAATGTGCAACACGGTCGCGTTCGACTCGACTAGTGCGATTCTCTTGTGAATTTGTTGGCTCCGTTGAAGGGGGAACGAAATAACTTTTCAAACTTTGAAGAAAGCTGCGTGATGATTGAGTATCATCTTCAGGCTGTACTTGTTTATGGTGATGATGTTCGGACGATGTCTCCGATGGTTTTTGTTCTCTGGTGGACACGTTCGGAGTAGTTGATGCTCGTGCCGAGACCTTCTCTTCTAATGTGCTTTGGTCAACATTTAAAGAAAGTTTAAAAGCTATAAAAAACAGTATCATTCTTATTCATCGTACGTGATAGCTTACGTTGCTGTTCTTGAGTTTTCAACAGACGATCCACTGGAATACCACGACGTTTGAGCGTTTCTAACGAAGATGCCAATTTATCACTAATCGAATGCACTAACGCATCCAACGGTTTCTTATAAACATATCTTGTCAGTTCTGTAGCAATGTCGATATAATCCAAAACAGGAATATCTTTCTGTATATACAAAGTCACTTTGTTTTTATCATGCTCCAATGCGCAAGTACTACATTCTGTCGACTAGAATAAACAAGAACAAAAGGCGTTGAATCTATCAATTGAATTATTTCCTCACATTCAATGTAGTCGTCCGATTGTCGAAAGTTAACTGACATTGAATGCCTTCCGATTCATACACATGGAGTTTTGTTCGTAATAATTCAATGCGCTTCGCATCGATATCCTCCATTTGTTCGCCCTGTCAAGTGAAACGAATATCACATGACTTCAGAAAAAAAAAACTGAATGACTTTACCCTGTTATTCACAAATAACATATCTAAACGATGATGAATTAAATCGTACAGTTTTTTGCTTCTATCTGTACCGAAGAATTTGCCTAGAAGAACACTACGAAGATGATATCAATTCCAGAAAGACTAGTTTTAACAAACCGCGATGCACTAAAGTTCTCTTCACTGATTCGGAAATCCAATTTGCCCCAAACTGTTCATACAATTTCGTTAATTCAGGTTCATCCGGCGCGCACAATGGTCGCAAATCAATAGCGGATTGATGATCATCATCCAAATAGATGTCACCAGGTTTGGCTATTTTAAATATTCGATCTTTACTTCCATCCGGTCGGTCGATAATTTGATAACCTAAACACCAAGGTTTGTTGATCAAACGACTTCGTAGTGGGTCCACTGTGAATTTCCGTGCAACGTGTGATACTGCCGCGAGTTGTTTTAAGCAATTGATGTAGACGCGTAGTTTCCCAGCGAGAACATCATTGCTATTTTGTGCACTGGGACTAAAGTAACCTGCTTGCCGTTCAATTAATAGTTCAGCTAAAACTTCTGCTGAGGGATATGAAACCACACCGATGCCGAGCAGAAACGAATTGGCTTCATAACCATAATCTACATAGTCGATTAGGCCATGCGTGGCGATATCATCGATTATATTGACATGTGTGCCTGCTGATGCACTACTGCTCGTTGAATCACGAGAACGGATGAAGACTTGAGATGGTTTGACATAAGTCTTGGTTCCTAGAAAAAAAACGAGATTCTAAAACATGTTTTAGTGAAATCATCAAACAAACCTGGTAGGGGAATGAAAGCTATGGTCGACACTTTTTCAATAAATAGTCGATTGAGACCGTCCAGTTTATTTAGATAAGAAAAATACTTCGGCGCCGTTTCATCTGTTAATAATTGATTTCGCTTTCCCATCAGAACATCGAAGGCAACCGGTAAAGAAGGACGATACTTCACACCGAGTAAACCTATGTCAAAATGATGTTGAAAACACCGAAGCACTTCTGGAAGAAGAGAGGGACACAACGGGCCAGATTCTATTGAAAACAAAAGTCAACATCAATTGAATGAAAGTCTCGTACAAACAAACCTTTGAAAACAACATCCGGTGTTGTTAAGATCACATCGGTGGAAGCATCGAGATCGGGAGGAGATGATGGAAGAAAAGCAACTTTGTTGTTAGCACTTCTCCATATTTTCGAATAATACTGTTGAAAATTCTCCGCAAAGAAAACAAGTGCGTTGGGTAGTTTATATTCATCTCTACTCTTCAATCCTTTGTGATGTTCTTGATCAATATGAGCTAGCAGTTTGTGTAGATCGGGTACTTCTCTGACGCCCAATTCTTTAAGAAACGCATATTCTCCGGAACGTGGTTCAATATCTGGCCAATCGACAATGAGCAAATTTTTCCATTGAAGACATTGGGCAACATACGGAAAATGAAGTTCACTTGGAATATATCTACGTTTCAATTCACCATTGGATTCTAATGTGGTTCCTGTAATACAATGATTGTGTTTCAATGCTCGCAGATCATTCTCGCTGAGATTTTTTCGTTGTTGCACCAGATACTGAACGAACGCTTGTACAGTTTGTGAATCATCCGATGTGAAACTATCGTTGGAAGTATGTTGAGCATTGTTTGATAATGTTGGAATATGAATCGTTCGACATCCGATAGATTTCACAAGTTCAATGGAAACAGGATGATCCTTCGACTCAGTTTCATTCTTATTCGATACAATTTGTGGTATGTAAAGTGTAATCATAGGAAGATTAGATGACAGGCTTGCCGATGGAATATACGATTCATTCGGTGATTTCATACCTTGAGTAGTTGGAATACATTTGATGTTCGATAATGTTGTTTTGATGCGAGTCGACTCAGTCTCACTAAATTTATTCCAATGGTGAGAAATAAAGCTGAGAAGAACCTTGGATGTATTGTCTTGCAAGAACAGATGATGTTGACTGTCGGCAAGGTAGAATTCTACGAGATGCTTAATCGAAACTGGACTTAGTGATAAACGTCTTTGTAGGTCGTCTCGAGCCAGATGAGAAACAACATCTGAAGGTAACACATCGGATGGAAGTGGAAGCGAGGGAAGATTGAATGTATCAAAGTACTGGATTTTAGTCAGTTTGATAATCGGTGATTGACGTGTGTGACGAAAACGTATTTTCGAGAGGATTTCTTTGATAAACGATTTGTTGTAAATATCATTGGTGCACAACCAACGGAGTAGACCAATAAATTCGTCGACTAAAAGAATCGTTTCTTGAATTTTTTTTGTGATCGTGTCGTTGTCAATTTCTTCAATCCATTGACGCTGTTTCAAGATCTTGAAAAAATCATGTTTGCCTATTTCATAGGGCACTATCGGTATGGATAAAAACTTCTCGATATGTTTTGACTTAGTCAAAAACGCTTCTGTCGATGGAACAAGAACAAGATGAGTATCTGTTGGAGAACGTCGCACAGGAACGAGAATGTCTTTATCTGACGAGAAGAATCCATCAACCAAAATACGGCCTGAAAAGCAACTACTGCAAATATTGTAGAAAAAAAAACCATCTTCTTACCAATTTCTTTATTCGGAGATGACTCTTGAAAAGCATACGGAGATAGGATAGCGTTGAAATGATCATGTGTCTGATCGGTGGCTTGTTCGACCGCATCAGCCATTGTTTGATCGTAAATAAATCGAACTATTTGTCCGATAGAAATCAGCAATTGATCGTTCCAAATAGAGATATACGGGTCTTGTAAGTCGATATTTTCTCGTTCGATCGTTGGAATTAAATGACTGAAGACATGCATACCGATTCCTGTCGTTTGGTGTGTGGCCAGGCCAATGAAAATCTGTCCTGCAGGATTGATTTGTCCATTGATCAATTTCAACGGAATCAAACCTTTCAATAGAAAAGTATTCGGATCGTCATTGGCCAGGATTTGCCATTGTTTTTCTTGAAATATCTAAATGAATCGCTAGATAAAAACATAATGTATAAAAATCATTCGAACAGACGTTATTCGATGGGAATAGAAATTCAATGTGTATCGTCTTTGGTAAACTCTTCTTGAGAACTCGTTCAATTTGCTGATGAAACTCTTTCTCGCCAATGACTTGTGCTTCGACATCAATATGATTGAGTGTAATCGATGGACCATGCTGGATGGTGAATGTTTGCTCAGTTTGAACAAATGATTTAAAACGAAGAAGATTGTTTTCATTATTGGTATTCATTCGCTTCGTAACTGAAGAGAGTTTTGTTGATTGTGATATTTTCGCTGTCTTGTTGACTTGAAAAACGACGAGACCATTGATTTTGATAATTAATTCATTGATGTGCTTCGTAAAGGCGAGAACTTTGGTAAAATACGCTTTTAGTTGTGGTAAATCCATGGTTGGAACAATTTCATTGGTTGCAGTATTCGTCGTGGATTTTGCTGCTCGATTCCTACCTCTCTTCCCCTTCTTACGAGTGTTGCTATTTGTATTCGAATTCTCTGTTATGGACGCTTTCGTTTGTAGAATATATTTATTTTTCATACTGAGTATGACCGATGTGGATGCGGATTGCTCTTCGGAAGATAATTCTTTTCTAAAAGTTGTCAACGATTTGCCATTTTGCCAAACGAAAGCTAAACGATGTTTACCCGATTGTATCATCGGTCGTTCGGAATACGAAAAGACGGAAAAGAATCCGACACCGAATTGACCAATTGCGTCTACGTTTGTATTACCTTCAGCGATCGTGATCACGCGTTTCCAATCGTCCTCGGTGAAAACATTCCCATTGTTGATGGTACGAATTTCTGTTATCAAACAATTGTGAAAATCGTTCTCCGGCGGTTTAGCAGTTGTCGGAGGTGAAATATCGGTAAAAGAATCATCGGTTTTCTCTTTAGTTGCAGTCCAAGCCCATGGAGCTTTAAGGAATTGTCCAACACCTCCCAGTAAGTAATTGGATGAATCATCTTTATCAGGAGATTCATACGATTCAGTAGCACTTGTCGGATCACAGGTTATTTCAAGTGTGAATGATGTAGATTGAGCATCATCAGAATTTTGAATTAATTCACGGTACACAACGAAATCAGATGAATAACGAGCTAACATTTTATCGATTAACATGCGTTGATTGACTTCAACACGATCTTCAATACCTTCATTGACCGTTTTTAACCATAATTCATCATAGTTCGACGACATGTTAATTTTCTTACCCTTTTACTTGAAATATCTAAAAATATTTCTTAAAAATCTACGCAAATGATGGTGAATAAACTACTTCTATACCTCCCAGCAATTTATAAATGTTTTTCATCGGTTATAAGCAAGTGAAGGTGTATTACGTAATCACATAGTGACGTGAAGAGAAAATTCCGTTTACGAAACATGTCTGAAACACTGCCACGTTATTTATCAGTCATCGAGGACAAAAAAAAAGTGCACACGAACACGGTAGAAGAAATGACAACAACAGAAAGAAAAGAACGAAGCGAAGGAAGGAAAAGGCAAGAATATACTTCATTCAAACGTTACACGCGTGCATGAGTCATACGGAAACAGAAGATGCTCGATGCAACACACGATTGGATAAAAATCGACAAAGATAGTTCGATGTGTTCGAGAGTGTGAGAGTGATCTTATGTTCGTTTAAGTATATTTAATTGTCGAGGATTCGTCGCTCCTCCTATCCACATATTGTCGATGCTGATATTATCAATAGTTTTCACTGCTGTTTTTAAATAAAGTCCGTTTTTGTTGCCGTAAGCAGCTTCTGCATCTCTCAAAGCGCGTATGACCTTCACTAAATGAACATGTTCAGCAAAGTCAGTATTTATTGTTCGATCAATGACATAGTTCCAACTTTGTTTGTGATTGTCGAGTTTGTAATCATAAATCAGTGCTGGATCGATCTTCGGTCGCATCTGAGCAATGTAGACGACGATGATAAAGAAAAATATTTGCCAGAGAAGATGTTTGATCACTTCTTGATCGTGTACGTGTTGGCGAATTACACAAATCGCATTCATCGATGTGAACAGATGAAGAAGAAAGAAATCGAATTCGATTTGGTCGGGCTTATGCGCAGCACCATAGAGATAAACGGTCAGATCGAGTAATTCCTCGATTATTTTGTCCAAATTGTTCACATCCACAAGCCATTGATCATAATGCGACAGAATCAGATCGGTGGACATTTCCACAATGGATTCTAAGTTTGCAACACCAGGCCCATCGAATAATGGTAATCGTTCATCTGAACGAAGATCTTGAATGATTGTCAGAGCCGATTTTAAACCGATTTTTGGTGGTTTTAGTTTATCAATCACTTCGTGTAAATAGTTATAGCAGACAGCACTCAATGTTAATGCTTCACTAGCCACTATTTGACTATCCAATTCAAATGCGTAACCAATATGGATGAGAGGATGACCGAGACCACTCACAACACTATTGATTAATGGCTTCGGATGATTGTCAAGTAGAAATTCCAAAAATTTCTCGTGCCATTTATTTCCACTTGCCGATAATTCTCGATCAAAAAAATCTTGATACGCTTGACAAAAACGTCTATCACCGATCGATTTATGCCAATTATCTCGAGTAATTTCATGTGGTGATGGTTTGTAATCGTTGAATTCATCGTGCATGTTTTTGTACAATTGTTCGACTTTATCATCTGTAACACCCAAAAAGTATAGACTCCCCAAATGATGAGCAGTATGAGTGTGAAAGCCATGATGATCAGTCACTTGGTGATTTGCGTGTGTATCTGCTAGTAGTTTGTTAATTACAGTACGACTCATCGTTAACCAATAGAACGAAGTATCTAGTACGTAACGGTGAATATATATAGAGACGCATATTCTGCAACGTCATCATAGACTTGACTGTTCTCTTCTTTTCTATTCGTTCCTTTGCAATGTAATGCTGATGATGTCACTCCGATCAACAACTACATAGAAATGATCGACTTTCTCTTGAGAAATACTTCAAAAAATGTTATTACTTCGATGAAGTGAAAATGTCAATACTGATTTTTAATGAAAAAGTAAAGCGCACAATCTACACAACAGTGAATATCATACTTTCAGTTGACATAATTTCTGTAAACCGTACGATCGTTTATCGGCTGAACTGGTCGATAGACCTTTTTCATTAGATTCTGACGAAGTTCGTTTAAACTCTCTTCCACAATCGGAATTTTATCGATAAAAACTGTCCAGATGACATTTTCACTACAAGGCGGTGTTGTCAAACTACCCATATATCGAAAATATTCTCTTTCATTAGCTTTCATCAATCGACTCAGATTAAATGAACAATTCATCGTGTCGTTGACATTGACGAGTTCACTTGCTGCATCTGCATACTTTTCCCATTCTGTATTTTCTTCATCCCATTGATCAGCAATAACGAAATGAAATGCAAATACAGCTAATTGATTATTTTGTCGATTTTTGAAAACAAAATGTGCTTCAGCAGGAAAGCGTTCTCCATCAATCTCATGTTCTGAACCATGACGATCATTTCTTCCCCAATGTAAATGAAAATTGACGGGAAAAGATTACAGAACAAGCAAATATAGTTATATTAATAAAAGGGCGTGTCTATCAGTCATATACTACCAAGAAAACACACTCGAATGTTTAATGAACAAGACAGAATCTAAAAATATCTCTTGCACTACATCTATAAGTAAATTAGGCATAATATTCTATGTTTTTGTGTTAAATGCCGAAAAGGAAAAAATATATACGATAAAGACCGAAAGCAAGAGCATAGAATAGGGTAAACGATGAGTAGGAATAAGTCGACAGGAAAAATGGGACAGAATTAAGAGAATCAGAACGATGGAGTGTTCACTATAAACACACCGTATCCACATCCTACGGCTGCCATATATTCACACTCACGCCCTCACCCAAAACTTTCTTTTAACGAGAGAACATTTCTAAAAGGATATTTTACGCAAAGGATATTGACAGATGACGTAAATTTTTTAAAGAACCAAAGTCAAGGACATTCATGACTGTATTCATGTTATTGCTCGTTGATGAATATATATGACGCTTTCGATTGCATGCCCAAAATGCGTGACTTTTCTGATGATAATTGTTTTCTGGTTGCTCAGTATATTACGAGATGCTTTGCATGTTTTTTCTTTCTCTCTTCATCGATAGCTTCTGCATAATTAACTTTGAGAGAAAATGAAAATGAAATATTTGTACAGACAACCTTTTTCTTTTTTTTTAAATGTACACTATATTATAGATGGAATATTACAAGCATCTTACACAAATAGACAGTTTCGTACCAAATCGTTACATCGAAATTCCATCCGGCTATGAAATGGCATCATCACGGCAGAATGGATTAACAAAAAATGTTCGTATACAAACAGCATTAACAGCAGCAGATTTTAATAATGAAACAACTCACTTTCGAGAACATGCGAAAAGCAAAAATGTTCGCATACAGACCATGTTAACAGCAGCTGAACTTAATGATCAGTCAGATGATTTTCGACAATATTCACGAAACAACGATGTGTCTGTCTCATCCAATACCATATCGCATCAAATGGATCAACAAAATCAAACAGCAGGAGCTATTGGTTCTGAACCATTCGATGATACAAATTTGAGCCAAAATCAACAAATTCTGGATACAAATAATGATGATATTAAAAAAGAAAACGTTCTCGAAAATAATCATGTTCATGATGAAACTGAATTCATCAATCCTATTGAAGGATATGCTGATGAACCACTTTTATCACTTGTTGATGCCTGCGAACCATTGACTGATATTCTACATAATCTCTCATTCTATGTTGAATTAGCATTGAACGAAACACCCCATGAACCACCCGATCGATTATCAGTTGATGAAAGTGCTGCCATTCGTCTCTACACAATCGAATGGGACAAACCACACCGCAGCCTATATTCAGACATGAACTACCATCTCAAAACGATGAATCGAGAGAAACTCTTACCATACTTCAGATATCTCAAACTATTTATAACTGCTCTCGTCAAACTACCATGTGTTCCACCATTGACAGTATGGCGAGGTGTGACCAAGAACTTGAGTGGTGACTTTCCCCCAGGCACACGAGTAACATGGTGGGCATTTTCATCAACTACGACACAGATGACAGTACTCGAAAATAACATGTATCTGGGCAGTGAAGGTGATCGAACACTCTTCTCTGTCGAAGCAATCAATGGTCGAACAATCAAAGCTCATTCACACTTCGTTACTGAAGATGAAATCTTACTTTTACCTGGTACTCATATGATTGTTCAATCACAACTTTCTCCAGCAGCTCAACTTCACATCATTCATTTGAAACAAGTCAAACCTGATGAAACATTACTTGAACCACCATTTCCAGGTATTGATTCATAAACTATATATCTCGGTTACTCTAGTTCTGTTTTGTTTGTTTTAGGTGCATATGTTTACCCAAAAATACAGTAAATTTCATTCTAATTTCTCTCATTTGTATATGTTCTATTTACAAGGCGTTCTTGTTATCGAAAAAAGAGATGGATGCTTCCACTCAGTTTGTTAGCTACTTTGATAATTGTAGGTGTCGTCGTTGGTGTGATTTTTGGTACAAAATCAAATTTGAAACGAACAAGTATGATATGTGCAAGTTTATTTTTCTTTACCCTACTACTTTTTGTAGCTCTTCGATGCACAAGTCTATTTCGTGCAGCTGATGAATTCAGTACTCAACATACTCCAACTTCTGTAGTAGTCGGTTACTTTAGAAATAGCAGTCAAGCAGATGTGATTGTTTCTAGTAGCAAAGATAATAATGTTGGTGTCCTACTGAATAATGGAAATGGAGTTCTGAAAGTTATCCGAGGTGAAACCGATACTAGTCCAGTAGCAATGGCATCGGGTGACTTCAATAATGACACATATGTGGACTTGGTAGTCGTTGATCGAGATGCGAATACTGTTCGTGTGCTACTGAATGATGGACAAGGAGCACTGAACATTTTAAACGACTATGACGCTGGTGATACTCCAATATTTATCAAAGCAGCAGATTTTAACTATGACAAAATCTTAGATGTCATAGTCCTAAATCAATATGATACTTTCGCTAGAATATTGTTTGGCAAAGGAGATGGAACATTTTCCAGTATGAAAAATTTAGGCATTGATCTTGTTGCCTCGTCAGTAGTAATAGCCGATTTTAACCAAGATAACCTATTGGATTTAGCATTTAGCAATATCAATGATAATTGTATTTCCGTTTTAATTGGTTCTACAAATGGAAGTTTTCAAGATGCAGCGAAATATAATGTTGGATATTCACCATCGTTGCTGATAACCGGTGATTTTAATAGCGACACTATAGTGGATCTGGCAATCGCTGGTCAAGGTGATAGTTCTGTTTATATATTATTTGGTCAAGGGGATGGAGTCTTCCACAATCTAATTCAAACTTCTACTATTTATTATCCATCGTATATAATATCAGGAGACTTTAATAATGATAATCAATTGGATTTGATAGTTGCTTCGAGTTATAATGGTTATATAAGTACTTTAC